GACAGCTCCACAGTATAGAGAATCTGTAGCAGGGTGCTGTGTGTTTCCTGTAGCAGGGTGCTGTGTGTTTCCTGTAGCAGGGTGCTGGGTGTTTCAGACAGCTCCACAGTATAGAGAATCTGTAGCAGGGTGCTGTGTGTTTCCTGTAGCAGGGTGCTGGGTGTTTCAGACAGCTCCACAGTATAGAGAATCTGTAGCAGGGTGCTGGGTGTTTCAGACAGCTCCACAGTATAGAGAATCTGTAGCAGGGTGCTGGGTGTTGTAGACAGCTCCACAGTATAGAGAATCTGTAGCAGGGTGCTGGGTGTTTCAGACAGCTCCACAGTATAGAGAATCTGTAGCAGGGTGCTGTAGACAGCTCCACAGTATAGAGAATCTGTAGCAGGGTGCTGTGTGTTTCCTGTAGCAGGGTGCTGGGTGTTTCAGACAGCTCCACAGTATAGAGAATCTGTAGCAGGGTGTTGTAGACAGCTCCACAGTATAGAGAATCTGTAGCAGGGTGCTGTGTGTTTCCTGTAGCAGGGTGCTGTGTGTTTCCTGTAGCAGGGTGCTGTGTGTTTCCTGTAGCAGGGTGCTGGGTGTTTCAGACAGCTCCACAGTATAGATAATCTGTAGCAGTGTGCTGGGTGTTTCAGACAGCTCCACAGTATAGAGAATCTGTAGCAGGGTGCTGGGTGTTTCAGACAGCTCCACAGTATAGAGAATCTGTAGCAGGGTGCTGTGTGTTTCAGACAGCTCCACAGTATAGAGAATCTGTAGCAGGGTGCTGGGTGTTTCAGACAGCTCCACAGTATAGAGAATCTGTAGCGGGGTGCTGGGTGTTTCAGACAGCTCCACAGTATAGAGAATCTGTAGCAGGGTGCTGTGTGTTTCAGACAGCTCCACAGTATGTGGTCCTCTGTAGCTCAGCTGGTAGAGCACGGCGCTTGTAACGCCAAGGTAGTGGGTTCGATCCCCGGCACCACCCATACACAAAAATGTATGCACGCACGACTGTAAGTCGCTTTGGATAAAAGCGTCTGCTAAATGGCATATTTTTTTATTTTATTTTTTTAGCTCCACAGTATAGCCCTGTGGTAGACATGATGACATGATGGCACTGTATTAGCCCAGCTCAGAGGAAACGGACTGCATAAAACAAAAATGTTTCTATATTCATTTACAGGTTAGTTAAACATGGCCACTCATTGGGCATATTCTATACATGACATTTGTATGGTGCTGCTATGGAGAATGATAATATGGCGAACTGGGAGTGGAACTTGGCCTGTGGGGAATGATAATATGGGGAACTGGAACTTGGCCTGTGGGGAATGATAATATGGGGAACTGGGAGTGGAACTTGGCCTGTGGGGAATGATAATATGGGGAACTGGGAGTGGAACTTGGCCTGTGGGGAATGATAATATGGGGAACTGGAAGTGGAACTTGGCCTGTGGGGAATGATAATATGGGGATCTGGAACTTGGCCTGTGGAGAATGATAATATGGGGAACTGGGAGTGGAACTTGGCCTGTGGGGAATGATAATATGGGGAACTGGGAGTGGAACTTGGCCTGTGGGGAATGGTAATATGGGGAACTGGAACTTGGCCTGTGGGGAATGATAATATGGAGAACTGGGAGTGGAACTTGGCCTGTGGGGAATGATAATATGGAGAACTGGGAGTGGAACTTGGCCTGTGGGGAATGATAATATGGGGAACTGGAACTTGGCCTGTGGGGAATGATAATATGGGGAACTGGAACTTGGCCTGTGGGGAATGGTAATATGGGCACTGATGTTGGACGGTTAGGCCTGGCTTGCAGTCGGCGTTCCAATTCATGCCAAGCGCCCCAGTTGGAGTGTCAAAAACTGCAACGCTGCTCGGTTTCACACTCAACAGTTTCCCATGTGTATCAAGAATGGTCCACCACCCAAAGGACATCCAGAATGGTCCACAACCCAAAGGACTCCAGAATGGTCCACACCCAAAGGACAGTCCAGGAATGGTCCACCACGCCAAAGGACATCCAAGAACGGTCCACCACCCAAAGGACATCAGAACGGTCCACCACCCAAGGACATCCAGAATGGTCCACCACCCAAAGGACAGCCAAGAATGGTCCACACCAAAGGACATCCAGCCAAAGGACATCCAGAATGAGTCCCACCACCCAAAGGACATCCAGCCAACTGGACCACCAACTGTGGGGAGCATCGGCGTCAAACTGGTCCATTTCCTGATGATGGAGGGCTGTTCTGAGGGCTGCAACTCGATATTAGGAGGTGTTACCTGATGAATGGAGGTGTTTACGAGGGCTGCAACTCAATATTAGGAAGGTGTTCCGATGAATGGAGTTCTCGTTTCGAGCGGCTTGCAACTCGATATTAGGAAGGTGTTCCTGATGAATGGAGGTCTGTTTCTGAGGGCTGCCAAACTCGATCTTAGGAAGGTGTTCCTGGATGAATGGAGTTCTGTTCTGAGGGGCTGACAACTCAATATTAGGGAAGGTGTTTCCTGATGAATGGAGGTGGTTCTGAGGGGCTGACAACTCAATATTAGGAAGGGTTCCTGGATGGAATGGAGTTCTTGTTCTGAGTGGCTTGCATACTCAATATTAGGAAGGTGTTCCTGATGAATGGAGGCTGTTCTTGAGGGGCTGCAACTCAATATTAGGAAGGTGTTCCTGATGAATGGAGGATTTCTGAGGGGGCAACTCAATATTAGGAAGGGTTCTGATGAATGAGTGCTGTTCTGATGGGCTGCCAACTCGATATTAGGAAGGTGTTCCTGATGAATGGAGGCTGTTCTGAGGGGCTGCAACTCGATATTAGGAAGGTGTCCCTGATGAATGGAGTTCTGTTCTGAGGGCTGCAACTCAATATTAGGAAGGTGTTCCTGATGAATGGAGGCTGTTCCGAGGGCTGCAACTCGATATTAGGAAGGTGTTCCTGATGAATGGAGTTCTGTTCTGAGGGGCTGCAACTCGATATTAGGAAGGTGTTCCTGATGAATGGAGGCTGTTCTGAGGGGCTGCAACTCGATATTAGGAAGGTGTTCCTGATGAATGGAGGCTGTTCTGAGGGCTGCAACTCAATATTAGGAAGGTGTTCCTGATGATTGGAGTTCTGTTTACTGAGGGCTGCAACTCAATATTAGGAAGGTGTTCCTGATGAATTGAGGCTGTTCTGAGGGCTGCAACTCGATATTAGGAAGGTGTTCCTGATGAATGGAGTTCTGTTCTGAGGGCTGCAACTCGATATTAGGAAGGTGTTCCTGATGAATGGAGTTCTGTTCTGAGGGCTGCAACTCAATATTAGGAAGGTGTTCCTGATGAATGGAGGCTGTTCTGAGGGGCTGCAACTCGATATTAGGAAGGTGTTCCTGATGTTTTGGACATTCAGTGTATATTATCCATGTCCTTGTTCCGCCACGACTCTGAGAAATGTGTCTCAAATTGTCTTTATAATGTGTTGTTGTTTTGCATAATAAACCTGATTCGTGTTTAAAAATGATGGCTATTTGTCTGTTCCATTTATTGACCTGTGCAAAAACTTGTGGATGTGAACCAATATGCATTGAATTTGAATCTGATAACATCATGTTAGACTCAGATAAATCCGATTATTCAAGAATCAATGACGGACAGCAAGAAATCTACAGATTGTGCCTTTAAATCGAGCGCGGTGTACAGTACGCGCGGCAAACAAACAACACAACCTGCAGCGTGTTCTCCTAAACTGCTACGATAAATCAAATCTGACGTTAATTTGACAAAAGCTGGATCCCTTCTAGCCATGACCAACTGACTCCGTCTTCACTAAATGAATGGTATATATATATATATATATATATATATATATATATATATATATATATATATTAATACAATAACAAAAACAGGACATCACTACACGTATATTTTATCTGAAGAAACATAAAATAACAAAGTAAAAAAATTTAATCACTACATATGAATTGAGTTTCAAAAGTTAAAGTACCTAAAATAAATAAAATAAGGTGAGGGGTTACAATTGTATAAACCTGTGATAGAGTTGTAAAAATACAGTAAGAATGTAACTCTATATGCAAACCAATACCTTCAGGACTTACTCAATTAATGAAATCTGATTTGTGCTTTGGAGAACATGTCAATATAGATGCATAATTTGTTAGGTTGTCCCCTGGTGGATAAGAAATGTAATAATACATTCTTAAGAGAACTTTAACTCCAAGAACAAGATCTCTCCTAGAGGGAAATTCTTCTGGAATGCATATATTACTGAAATTGAATGGAAGAAAGCTTGGTTGCTCCCACATACATTTTGTATATCAAATAAAGAAAAATAAATTCCCTTTAAAATCTTGCACAAAATATACCCTTGCAATAACTTGTCTAAAATAAATAAATAAAAAATAGAAAATAAAAATCATGGACTTAAGAGGACATAATTATGCCTTTTCTGTGATAAAGAATGGGAAACTATTATACACATTTTTTATGAGTGTGACTGTGAAGTTATTTTGGAGTGAGTTAAGTATTTCAATGTTTTATTTCATTAATAAGACCCATGTATTTACACTGAAAGATGTAATATGTTATTAAAATGAAAGTAAAACATTTGAGCCGTAAATTTCTTCATTATCTCTGGTAAACGTTATATACACAAAAACAAATATTTGAAAAATCCGACCCCAAATGCAATAATTTTTTTTAAACTTTAAATCCAATGTTTTAATAACATCTCTAGAATTAGTCAATAACAAAAAATAAATAAAAAACGATTCTAAATGAAGTGGTTATCCCACTGGCTATCATAAGGTGAATGCTCCAATTTGTAAGTCGCTCTGGATAAGAGCGTCTGCTAAATGACGTAAATGTAAAATGTAAATGAACGGTATCCGGGATGACGCCATGACGTTATTGACGTGGCGTGAATGTGAGCGTAATGTGGATAGACGAAAGGTTTGACCAACCACCAACCAGCGCAGCGGATGACGAATACAGCAGATACATCTTACGGCTTTGTTTACGGCGTTGGAAATGGCGGCAAACGAAAACATGGACCCCGGACCAGATGTGGAATGTGTAGTTAATCGTTGGATGGTGGATTATTATATATCTGTGGCATTTGATACTTTTAGGAATGAACGGTATACTGATTTCTGTGAGATCAGAGACATCCTTCCAATGTGAGTAACGTTAGCGTCTTCGCGAAAACCAATACAGGTTTCTGTACCGTCTCTGCCTAATAAGACAGTTTGTTTAGCTAGTTTAAACGTTTTGTTTAGCTAGTTTAAACGTTTTTATACCACGTGTTAGCTAGCTCGATACGTTAGCTAACTGTGCGGTAACGTTGACTGTTCGCTAGACCAGTTGGTAACTCAATACTATAAAGCTTTGATTATTTGAATCAGCTGTGTAGCGTTGGGACGACAAGTAAACCAGTTCGTTTGTACGGGAACGACACGTTTTCCCAAAACGTTTGTGAACAGACTTGTTTGGTTCGGTGGGTGTAGCGGGTTTGGCATGAAGCAGTGGCTGACGTGTTTAAAGGCAAGCTGTGCATTTTGAACCCACAACCCGTCTCCGTTTTTCAACTGGTCGTTCAGTACATCACCGTTTCTGTTAATTGAACGTTATGTTATGTACTGAACGCAGCCCAGGACCGAGTTTAGCTACACTCATCCAGACTAGCTACCTCTGGAAAAGCCTGCTTATGGTTTCCGTGGATTACATTTGCAGACGTTTTGCTCCATGTGAACTACAATTCAAACCGGTTTTCGAAACATATGCAGATTATGTCCCTTATCTTTCATATCAGCGAGAAATAATATTTTAAATACAAAAAATATTAACTTTAGCAGTTTTGCACAGATCCACAATCTGCGAGTGCCTCCAGTTGACGAACTACACTTCCTCCCCAGTGAAAGGCTCTGCATGGTCAATCTGAGGTCTGAAGTGGCAGTACAATAATTACTGCAATGCAGCCTCCACAGACTTTAGGGCTTTCATACTCCTTCCGTTTAGCTGAGCAGAGCTGTTGTGAAGGAAGTTGTCAAAGAAGTGAGTTTGTGTTCATACAGGACGTACCGCCCCCAACCTACCGTCAGCCAATCATGTCAATGCGGAGCCCTCCAGATTGTTACAACATTTGAGAGGCGCACGGCGATGCGGTACGGAGCTAGATTTGGCCTCTGCATGCACCGCAATTCCAAATCAAATCAAATTTTATTGGTCACATGCGCCGAATACAACAGGTGCAGACATTACAGTGAAATGCTTACTTACAGCCCTTAACCAACAGTGCATTTATTTTTAACAAAAAAAGTAAAAAATAAAACAAAAAAAGTGTTGAGAAAAAAAAGAGCAGAAGTAAAATAACAGTAGGGAGGCTATATATACAGGGGGGTACCGGTGCAGAGTCAATGTGCGGGGGCACCGGCTAGTTGAGGTAGTTGAAGTAATATGTACATGTGGGTAGAGTTAAAGTGACTATGCATAAATAATTAACAGAGTAGCAGCAGCTTAAAAAGGATGGGGTGGGGGGGCAGTGCAAATAGTCCGGGTAGCCATGATTAGCTGTTCAAGAGTCTTATGGCTTGGGGATAGAAGCTGTTGAGAAGTCTTTTGGACCTAGACTTGGCACTCCGGTACCGCTTGCCGTGCGGTAGCAGAGAGAACAGTCTATGACTAGGGTGGCTGGAGTCTTTGACAATTTTGAGGGCCTTCCTCTGACACCGCCTGGTATAGAGGTCCTGGATGGCAGGAAGCTTGGCCCCAGTGATGTACTGGGCCGTACGCACTACTCTCTGTAGTGCCTTGCGGTCGGAGGCCAAGCAGTTGCCATACCAGGCGGTGATGCAACCAGTCAGGATGCTCTCGATGGTGCAGCTGTAGAATTTTTTGAGGATCTGAGGACCCATGCCAAATCTTTTCAGTCTCCTGAGGGGGAATAGGCTTTGTCGTGCCCTCTTCACGACTGTCTTGGTGTGTTTGGACCATGATAGTTCGTTGGTGATGTTGACACCAAGGAACTTGAAGCTCCACCTTCCATACGAAGGTCCGACCACATTTCGGATCAAGAATAAATTGGCTTTACGCTTACACACAGGTGTTCGGAATACGCTAGATGTCTCGTCAAATCTAAATCCAATTGTATTGGTCACATGCCGAATACAACTGGTGTAGACTTTAACGTGAAATGCTTGCTTACGAGCCCATTCCCAACAATGCAGAGTTAAAAAGTAAGAAAAATATGTCGAGGAAAAAACAAGGAAATAGTAACACAATAAAATAACAATAACGAGGCTATATACAGGGAGTACCAGTACCGAGTCAATGTGTAGGGGTACCAGGTAGTTGAGGTAATATGTATATGTAGGTAGGGGTAAAAGAGACTAGTCAATCAGGATAGATAATAAACAGAGTAGCAGCAGTGTTGGTAGTTGAGGTAATATGTACATAATAATATAATAATAATAATATAATATGCCATTTAGCAGACGCTTTTATCCAAAGCGACTTACAGTCATGTGTGCATACATTTTTGTGTATGGGTGGTCCCGGGGATCGAACCCACTACCCTGGCGTTACAAGCGCCGTGCTCTACCAGCTGAGCTACAGAGGACCACATGTAGGTAGGGGTAAAAGTGACTAGTCAATCAGGATAGATAATAAACAGAGTAGCAGCAGTGTTGGTAGTTGAGGTAATATGTACATGTAGGTAGGGGTAAAAGTGACTAGTCAATCAGGATAGATAATAAACAGAGTAGCAGCAGTGTTGGTAGTTGAGGTAATATGTACATGTAGGTAGGGGTAAAAGAGACTAGGCAATCAGGATAGATAATAAACAGAGTAGCAGCAGCGTATGTGTGTGTGTTGGATTGTCAGTGTAGTGAGTGTGTGGGTAGAGCCCAGTGAGTGTGCATAGAGCTAGTGCAAGAGAGTCAGCGCAAAATAAAATAAAGGGGGTCAATGTAAATAGTCCAGGTGGCCATTTGATTAACTGTTCAGCAGTCTTATGGCTTAGGGGTAGAAGCTGTTCAGGAGCCTTTTGGTCATGCAGTAGAAGAGAGAACAGTCTATGACTTGGGTGGCTGAAGTCTTTGACAGTCATTAGCACAGGTGGCTGCCTATGTCTTCTATAAACATGGAGAAATGGCCGTGTGGGAACACCAACCCTATAAAGGTGTGTAGTAATTTAACCTATTTATTTATTTATTTATTTATAATTTCTCACTGATCTGAAAGATACGTTCCTTATGTTTCCAAAACCACAAGCGATGAGTGTTTTTATTTAGAGCAAGAGTCGGGGGGGGGTTGGGCTCTTCACAAAACTTCCTCGGTCAGAAGATACTTTCGTCAAAATGCGCTAAAGCAGTTAGCCCCATTTAATAGACGCTAGCTAACACATTATCCAACAACATCCTCTTTTCAGGTCATCTGGTTCGGCCGTTGGAAGCCAACGATGCCATGCCGAAGAAGATTCGAGCAATACAGTTCCTCACCAGGATAAATGATGGTGACAAACTCGGTGAGAATTTTGAGCTAAACTTTAAGTAACTTGCTAGCTAGCTAGCTAGGTAACAACACTAGCTAGGTAACAACACTAGCTAGGTAACAACACTAGCTAGGTAACAACACTAGCTAGGTAACAACACTAGCTACGTAACAACACTAGCTAGGTAACAACACTAGCTAGGTAACAACACTAGCTAGGTAACAACACTAGCTAGGTAACAACACTAGCTAGGTAACAACACTAGCTACGTAACAACTCTAGCTACGTAACAACACAACACTAGCTAGGTAACAACACTAGCTACGTAACAACACTAGCTAGGTAACAACACTAGCTAGGTAACAACACTAGCTAGGTAACAACACTAGCTAGGTAACAACACTAGCTAGGTAACAACACTAGCTACGTAACAACTCTAGCTACGTAACAACACAACACTAGCTAGGTAACAACACTAGCTAGGTAACAACACTAGCTACGTAACAACACTAGCTAGGTAACAACACTAGCTAGGTAACAACACTAGCTAGGTAACAACACTAGCTACGTAACAACACTAGCTAGGTAACAACACTAGCTAGGTAACAACACTAGCTAGGTAACAACACTAGCTACGTAACAACACTAGCTACGTAACAACACTAGCTACGTAACAACACTAGCTACGTAACAACACTAGCTAGGTAACAACTCTAGCTACGTAACAACACTAGCTAGGTAACAACGCTAGCTAGGTAACAACACTAGCTAGGTAACAACACTAGCTAGGTAACAACACTAGCTAGGTAACAACACTAGCTAGGTAACAACACTAGCTAGGTAACAACACTAGCTACGTAACAACTCTAGCTACGTAACAACACAACACTAGCTAGGTAACAACACTAGCTAGGTAACAACACTAGCTAGGTAACAACACTAGCTAGGTAACAACACTAGCTAGGTAACAACTCTAGCTACGTAACAACTCTAGCTACGTAACAACGCTAGCTACGTAACAACGCTAGCTACGTAACAACGCTAGCTAGGTAACAACGCTAGCTAGGTAACAACGCTAGCTAGGTAACAACGCTAGCTAGGTAACAACGCTAGCTAGGTAACAACACTAGCTAGGTAACGGTATGAACTAATATTCATTCCCATGTTGAAAATCAGAGACACCTGAAATGTGACCCCAGGTGCCACAATCTGCTGTTCCCTATAGCTAGCTAGCTAGCTAGCTGTGTCTTTGAAATCAAGTCTAAGATCACTGACACAGTTGATCTCTTGCCGTCCACAGACTGATCACTGACACAGTTGATCTCTTGCCGTCCACAGACTGATCACTGACACAGTTGATCTCTTGCCGTCCACAGACTTCTCGTTTGAATCTCAGGAGTTCCTCACTCCGCTGGAGTCTGCTATGAGTGTATTGGACAGCATCAGCGAGGAGTTGACAGTTCCCCAGAAAGACCTGGAGCGAGTACACAAGTCTATCAGAGAGATGGTGAGATCTGGCCCCACTGTGTATAATCATTGAATGGTCCCCTGTTGAAACCCTAAACACTGTTGTGATTTTTCATGTCATCCCTGTCCAACATTATACGATGGGCTTCGGAGTGGCTATAGAGGGAGGACACAGTGTACTGTGGTCAATGACATTCTGCGTTATACTGAATTGCACAACTATTTGCCCATTCATGTCTTCCCCTTGTCATTCTGTTGTGATTGTCTTTTGCCGCGTTGTGCATTCTTACATCAGTCTTGCATTCAACCTTGTTTTGTTTTGCTCTGTAGTTGGTGATGGTGTGCATTAAGAACAAAGCGTTTGACAAAGCCAAGGAGGTTTTGACGAAATACTTCCCAAAAGGCATGGTTGGAAAGGTGAGCTAACTGATAACTCCTAAAGAGATGATGGCAACTATACGAACAGGACATAGAGGCATTTAGAACCATCTGTCTTTTAACCCGAGGGACAGGACAGAGGCATTTAGACCCATCTGTCTTTTAACCTGAGGGACAGGACAGAGGCATTTAGACCCATCTGTCTTTTAACCCGAGGGACAGGACAGAGGCATTTAGACCCATCTGTCTTTTAACCCGAGGGACAGGACAGAGGCATTTAGACCCATCTGTCTTTTAACCTGAGGAACAGGACAGAGGCATTTAGACCCATCTGTCTTTTAACCTGAGGGACAGGACAAAGAGGCATTTAGACCCATCTGTCTTTTAACCCGAGGGACAGGACAGAGGCATTTAGACCCATCTGTCTTTTAACCCGAGGGACAGGACAGAGGCATTTAGACCCATCTGTCTTTTAACCCGAGGGACAGGACAGAGGCATTTAGACCCATCTGTCTTTTAACCGGAGGAACAGGACAGAGGCATTTAGACCCATCTGTCTTTCAACCTGAGGGACAGGATAGAGGCATTTAGACCCATCTGTCTTTTAACCCGAGGGACAGGACAGAGGCATTAAGACCCATCTGTCTTTTAACCTGAGGGACAGGACAGAGGCATTTAGACCCATCTGTCTTTTAACCCGAGGGACAGGACATAGAGGCATTTAGACCCATCTGTCTTTTAACCCGAGGGACAGGACAGAGGCATTTAGACCCATCTGTCTTTTAACCTGAGGGACAGGACAGAGGCATTTAGACCCATCTGTCTTTTAACCGGAGGGACAGGACCGAGGCATTTAGACCCATCTGTCTTTTAACCCGAGGGACAGGACAGAGGCATTTAGACCCATCTGTCTTTTAACCTGAGGGACAGGACAGAGGCATTTAGACCCATCTGTCTTTTAACCCGAGGGACAGGACAGAGGCATTTAGACCCATCTGTCTTTTAACCCGAGGGACAGGACAGAGGCATTTAGACCCATCTGTCTTTTAACCCGAGGGACAGGACAGAGGCATTTAGACCCATCTGTCTTTTAACCAGAGGGACAGGACAGAGGCATTTAGACCCATCTGTCTTTTAACCTGAGGGACAGGACAGAGGCATTTAGACCCATCTGTCTTTTAACCCGAGGGACAGGACAGAGGCATTTAGACCCATCTGTCTTTTAACCCGAGGGACAGGACAGAGGCATTTAGACCCATCTGTCTTTTAACCTGAGGAACAGGACAGAGGCATTTAGACCCATCTGTCTTTTAACCTGAGGGACAGGACAAAGAGGCATTTAGACCCATCTGTCTTTTAACCCGAGGGACAGGACAGAGGCATTTAGACCCATCTGTCTTTTATCCCGAGGGACAGGACAGAGGCATTTAGACCCATCTGTCTTTTAACCCGAGGGACAGGACAGAGGCATTTAGACCCATCTGTCTTTTAACCAGAGGGACAGGACAGAGGCATTTAGACCCATCTGTCTTTTAACCTGAGGGACAGGACAGAGGCATTTAGACCCATCTGTCTTTTAACCCGAGGGACAGGACAGAGGCATTTAGACCCATCTGTCTTTTAACCCGAGGGACAGGACAGAGGCATTTAGACCCATCTGTCTTTTAACCCGAGGGACAGGACAGAGGCATTTAGACCCATCTGTCTTTTAACCCGAGGGACAGGACAGAGGCATTTAGACCCATCTGTCTTTTAACCCGAGGGACAGGACAGAGGCATTTAGACCCATCTGTCTTTTAACCCGAGGGACAGGACAGAGGCATTTAGACCCATCTGTCTTTTAACCCGAGGGACAGGACAGAGGCATTTAGACCCATCTGTCTTTTAACCCGAGGGACAGGACAGAGGCATTTAGACCCATCTGTCTTTTAACCCGAGGGACAGGACAGAGGCATTTAGACCCATCTGTCTTTTAACCCGAGGGACAGGACATAGAGGCATTTAGACCCATCTGTCTTTTAACCCGAGGGACAGGACAGAGGCATTTAGACCCATCTGTCTTTTAACCCGAGGGACAGGACAGAGGCATTTAGACCCATCTGTCTTTTAACCTGAGGTCATCATGCATTTACACAAGTTATCATAACCCTTAGGAAATGAAGTGTGACTCCCAAATGGCACCCTATTCCCTATATAATGCAATACTTTTGATCAGAGCCATGTGGGGGCCTGGTAAAGTAGTGCACTAGAGAATATAGTGCCATTTGGGATGTTGAGGCTGGTGCAGGGTAACGTCATTAGAGGCTGGTGCAGGGTAACGTCGTTAGAGGCTGATGCAGGGTAACGTCGTTAGAGGCTGGTGCAGGGTAACGTCGTTAGAGGCTGGTGCAGGGTAACGTCGTCAGAGGCTGATGCAGGGTAACGTCGTTAGAGGCTGGTGCAGGGTAACGTCGTTAGAGGCTGATGCAGGGTAACGTCGTTAGAGGCTGATGCAGGGTAACGTTGTTAGAGGCTGATGCAGGGTAACGTCGTTAGAGGCTGATGCAGGGTAACGTCGTTAGAGGCTGATGCAGGGTAACGTCGTCAGAGGCTGATGCAGGGTAACGTCATTAGAGGCTGGTGCAGGGTAACGTCGTTAGAGGCTGATGCAGGGTAACGTCGTTAGAGGCTGATGCAGGGTAACGTCGTTAGAGGCTGATGGCAGGGTAACGTCGTTAGAGGCTGGTGCAGGGTAACGTCGTTAGAGGCTGATGCAGGGTAACGTCGTTAGAGGCTGGTGCAGGGTAACGTCGTTAGAGGCTGATGCAGGGTAACGTCGTAGAGGCTGATGCAGGGTAACGTCGTTAGAGGCTGGTGCAGGGTAACGTCGTTAGAGGCTGATGCAGGGTAACGTCGTTAGAGGCTGATGCAAGGGGTAACGTCGTTAGAGGCTGAGTGTCTAGGGTAAGTCGTAGAGGCTGATGCAGGGTAACGTCGTTAGAGGCTGGTGCAGGGTAACGTCGTTAGAGGCTGATGCAGGGTAACGTCGTTAGAGGCTGATGCAGGGTAACGTCGTTAGAGGCTGGTGCAGGGTAACGTCGTGAGGCTGTGCAGGGTAACGTCGTTAGAGGCTGGTAGCAGGGTAACGTCGTTAGAGGCTGGTGCAGGGTAACGTCGTTAGAGGCTGGTGCAGGGTAACGTCATTAGAGGCTGATGCAGGGTAACGTCGTTAGAGGCTGGTGCAGGGTAACGTCGTTAGAGGCTGATGCAGGGTAACGTCGTTAGAGGCTGATGCAGGGTAACGTCGTTAGAGGCTGGTGCAGGGTAACGTCGTCAGAGGCTGGTGCAGGGTAACGTCGTTAGAGACTGATGCAGGGTAACGTCGTTAGAGGCTGATGCAGGGTAACGTCGTTAGAGGCTGATGCAGGGTAACGTCGTCAGAGGCTGATGCAGGGTAACGTCATTAGAGGCTGATGCAGGGTAACGTCGTTAGAGGCTGGTGCAGGGTAACGTCGTCAGAGGCTGGTGCAGGGTAACGTCATTAGAGGCTGATGCAGGGTAACGTCGTCAGAGGCTGATGCAGGGTAACGTCGTTAGAGGCTGGGTAACGTCGTTAGAGGCTGATGCAGGGTAACGTCGTCAGAGGCTGGGTAACGTCGTTAGAGGCTGATGCAGGGTAACGTCGTTAGAGGCTGATGCAGGGTAACGTCGTTAGAGGCTGATGCAGGGTAACGTCGTTAGAGGCTGATGCAGGGTAACGTCGTCAGAGGCTGGGTAACGTCGTTAGAGGCTGATGCAGGGTAACGTCGTTAGAGGCTGGTGCGGGGTAACGTCGTTAGAGGCTGATGCAGGGTAACGTCGTCAGAGGCTGGGTAACGTCGTTAGAGGCTGATGCAGGGTAACGTCGTTAGAGGCTGGGTAACGTCGTTAGAGGCTGGTGCAGGGTAACGTCGTTAGAGGCTGATGCAGGGTAACGTCGTTAGAGGCTGATGCAGGGTAACGTCGTTAGAGGCTGATGCAGGGTAACGTCGTTAGAGGCTGGTGCAGGGTAACGTCGTCAGAGGCTGGTGCAGGGTAACGTCGTCAGAGGCTGATGCAGGGTAACGTCGTTAGAGGCTGGTGCAGGGTAACGTCGTTAGAGGCTGATGCAGGGTAACGTCGTTAGAGGCTGGTGCAGGGTAACGTCGTCAGAGGCTGGGTAACGTTGTTAGAGGCTGGTGCAGGGTAACGTCGTTAGAGGCTGATGCAGGGTAACGTCGTTAGAGGCTGGTGCAGGGTAACGTCGTTAGAGGCTGGTGCAGGGTAACGTCGTTAGAGGCTGGGTAACGTCGTTAGAGGCTTGGGTTAACGTCGTTAGAGCTGGTGCAGGGTAACGTCGTTAGAGGCTGATGCAGGGTAACGTCGTTAGAGGCTGATGCAGGGTAACGTCGTTAGAGGCTGATGCAGGGTAACGTCGTTAGAGGCTAATGCAGGGTAACGTCGTTAGAGGCATGGTGCAGGGTAACGTCGTTAGAGGCTGATGCAGGGTAACGTCGTCGAGAGGCTGATGCAGGGTAACGTCGTAGAGGGCTGGTGCAGGGTACGTCGTAGAGGCCTGGTCGGGTCACGTCGTTAGAGGCTGAATGCAGGGTAACGTCGTTAGAGAGCCTGATGCGGGGTAACGTCGTAGAGGCTGGTGCAGGGGTAACGTCGTTAGAGGCTGATGCAGGGTAACGTCGTTAGAGGCTGTGCAGGGTAACGTCGTTAGAGGCTGGAATGCAGGGTAACGTCGTTAGAGGCTGATGCAGGGTAACGTCGTTAGAGGCTGATGCAGGGGTAACGTCGTTAGAGGCTGGTGCAGGGTAACGTCGTTAGAGGCTGATGCAGGGTAACGTCGTTAGAGGCTGGTGCAGGGTAACTGTAGAGGCTGATGCAGGGAAGGACTAGGGGGTGCAGGGTAACGTCGTTAGAGGCTGATGCAGGGTAACGTCGTTAGAGGCTGATGCAGGGTAACGTCGTTAGAGGCTGATGCAGGGTAACGTCGTTAGAGGCTGGTGCAGGGTAACGTCGTTAGAGGCTGGTGCAGGGTAACGTCGTCAGAGGCTGGTGCAGGGTAACGTCGTTAGAGGCTGATGCAGGGTAACGTCGTCAGAGGCTGATGCAGGGTAACGTCGTTAGAGGCTGATGCAGGGTAACGTCGTTAGAGGCTGATGCAGGGTAACATCGTTAGAGGCTGATGCAGGGTAACGTCGTCAGAGGCTGATGCAGGGTAACGTCGTCAGAGGCTGATGCAGGGTAACGTCGTTAGAGGCTGATGCAGGGTAACGTCGTCAGAGGCTAATGCAGGGTAACGTCGTCAGAGGCTAATGCAGGGTAACGTCGTCAGAGGCTGATGCAGGGTAACGTCGTTAGAGGCTGGTGCAGGGTAACGTCGTCAGAGGCTAATGCAGGGTAACGTCGTTAGAGGCTGGGTAACGTCGTTAGAGGCTGGTGCAGGGTAACGTCGTTAGAGGCTGGTGCAGGGTAACGTTGTCAGAGGCTGGTGCAGGGTAACGTCGTTAGAGGCTGATGCAGGGTAACGTCGTCAGAGGCTGATGCAGGGTAACGTCGTTAGAGGCTGATGCAGGGTAACGTCGTTAGAGGCTAATGCAGGGTAACGTCATTAGAGGCTGATGCAGGGTAACGTCGTTAGAGGCTAATGCAGGGTAACGTCGTTAGAGGCTAATGCAGGGTAACGTCGTTAGAGGCTGATGCAGGGTAACGTCGTTAGAGGCTGATGCAGGGTAACGTCGTCAGAGGCTGGGTAACGTCGTCAGAGGCTGATGCAGGGTAACGTCGTCAGAGGCTGATGAAGGGTAACGTCGTTAGAGGCTGGGTAACGTCGTCAGAGGCTGATGCAGGGTAACGTCGTCAGAGGCTGATGCAGGGTAACATCGTTAGAGGCTAATGCAGGGTAACGTCGTTAGAGGCTGATGCAGGGTAATGTCGTTAGAGGATGGTGCAGGGTAACGTCGTCAGAGGCTAATGCAGGGTAACGTCGTTAGAGGCTGATGCAGGGTAACGTCGTTAGAGGCTGGTGCAGGGTAACGTCGTTAGAGGCTGGTGCAGGGTAACGTCGTTAGAGGCTGATGCAGGGTAACGTCGTTAGAGGCTAATGCAGGGTAACGTCGTTAGAGGCTGGTGCAGGGTAACGTCGTTAGAGGCTGGTGCAGGGTAACGTCGTTAGAGGCTAATGCAGGGTAACGTCGTTAGAGGCTAATGCAGGGTAATGTGTCCTCCAGAAAGCGATCTTCCTGGGGCTGGTCAACAAGAGGAGCAGTGAGCATTCAGTCCTGCAGCAGGTCACCTACCAGCAGTTTAAACAAGAGATGCTGCAGTTCTGTGAAAGCCTGTTCACCTACTCTCCTCCTTTCCTGTGCAGGGTATGTATGTATTGTATTCCCTCAGGGACACTCTGTCTGTGTCCCCAATGGCTCCCCTTTCCCTATATAGGGTACTGCTTTTGACCAGGGTCAATAGGGGGGCCGTTGGGGACACAGCTTCTAAGTACATGCTGAGGAACATGTTGTTTTAACTGTTTGGGCTGATGTCTCAGTACTTATTCAGTTGTACTGTATCTAACTAAAGACACACTGGGAGCTCTCTGTCTCCCAGAACCCACTGCTCCTAACCCGAACTGAGGAGATCTGTCTGTGTGAATACCAGGCTGCCAGACAGCTGATGGTGAAGAGACAGGAGGCAGGACAGGATGCGGAGGAAGGAGACTGTCCCTCAGTCCCTCAGCCAGAGGACCAGCTTGGACCAGTAACACAGGACAACACATCCAGACACAAACCCAGGTAGCCTCATGGATCCAATGTCAATCAATCAAAGTAAATGTATTTTATAAAGCCCTTTTACCTCAGGTATTGTGATGCCATGCTTTCCAGTTACCTAGCCTAGACTCCGAAGGTCATTGGGCCCCACCACCACAGTGTGTGGAGATGCAGGGAGCTTCAACAGTATTGGGACAGTGACACCATTGTTTGTTTTGGCTCTGTACTTGTTGGATGCATTTGCCGATACTCCCAATACCGTTTGGAGCTCAATGTAGTCGACCACTTGATTTTGAATACTTTAAATTAAAGTACAACCTTCATAACGCTCTTCCTTCAAGTAATCACCAATCTGTGTGTTCAGTTGTTTGCCATCGTATGGCTGTGATCCAGTAAAACCGTGTCAGACGACACGATGCCGTTCATTAGTATTGGAACACCTGGGTCGTGTTCATTAGGCACCAAATGGAAGAACACTGACTGAAACACGGAGGGACTGTTTGGACTTGTCCAATAAGAAACGCTCGTTTTTGTTTTCCGTTGCATAAGATTTTCCTCTGGTGTGCCCTAATGAATATGACCCTATCTTGATCTCTCCCTCCAGTCCTCTGTCTAAACTACCTGACTGTCCCTCCAGTCCTCTGTCTAAACTACCTGACTCTGTCCATCCAGTCCTCTGTCTAAACTACCTGACTCTGTCCCTCCAGTCCTCTGTCTAAACTGCCTGACTCTGTCCCTCCAGTCCTCTGTTTAAACTACCTGGCTCTGTCCCTCCAGTCCTCTGTCTAAACAGCCTGACTCTGTCCCTCCAGTCCTCTGTCTAAACAGCCTGGCTCTGTCCCTCCAGTCCTCTGTCTAAACAGCCTGGCTCTGTCCCTCCAGTCCTCTGTCTAAACTGCCTGACTCTGTCCCTCCAGTCCTCTGTCTAAACAGCCTGACTCTGTCCCTCCAGTCCTCCTTGTCCTTCCTGTCTAAACAGCCTGACTCTGTCCCTCCAGTCCTCTGTCTAAACTACCTGACTCTGTCCCTCCAGTCCTCTGTCTAAACTGCCTAACACTGTCCCTCCAGTCCTCTGTCTAAACAGCCTGGCTCTGTCCCTCCAGTCCTCTGTCTAAACTACCTGACTCTGTCCCTCCAGTCCTCTGTCTAAACAGCCTGACTCTGTCCCTCCAGTCCTCTGTCTAAACTGCCTGACTCTGTCCCTCCAGTCCTCTGTCTAAACAGCCTGACTCTGTCCCTCCAGTCCTCTGTCTAAACAGCCTGACTCTGTCCCTCCAGTCCTCTGTCTAAACAGCCTGACTCTGTCCCTCCAGTCCTCTGTCTAAACAGCCTGACTCTGTCCCTCCAGTCCTCTGTCTAAACAGCCTGACTCTGTCCCTCCAGTCCTCCCAGTGCACCCCCTGGTGGCGTCCGGCTGACCCGCAGCCGGCTGAAGGCCGTTTATACAGCCCTGGCCGAGGAGCTGAGGGAGCCCATGACCTTTGCAGAGCTGGAGGAGGTGGTGGAAAGGGAGGTGATGGAGGAGAACGCAGGAAAACGAGATGCTGTTGTGGACCAAGAGGAACCCGTCCTGCATCTCTCCGGAAGCCCCAGGTTGTCAATCATATCACTACCCTGCTGCTTCCTGTCCTATGGTAGCCTGGTTACCAGTCAATCACTACCCTGCTGCTTCCCTGTCCTATGGTAGCCGGGTACCATCATATCACTAACTAACCCTGTGCTTCTTTCCTGTCCTATAGTAGCCTTGGTTACCGTCATATCACTACCCTGCTGCTTCCGTCCTATGGTAGCTGTTACCAGTCATATCACTACCCTGCTGCTTCCTGTCCTATGGTAGCCTGGTTACCAGTCATATCACTACCCTGCTGCTTCCTGTCCTATGGTAGCCTGGTTACCAGTCATATCACTACGCTGCTGCTTCCTGTCCTATGGTAGCCTGGTTACCAGTCATATCACTACCCTGCTGCTTCCTGTCCTATGGTAGCCTGGTTACCAGTCATATCACTACCCTGCTGCTTCCTGTCCTATGGTAGCCTGGTTACCAGTCATATCACTACCCTGCTGCTTCCTGTCCTATGGTAGCCTGGTTACCAGTCATATCACTACCCTGCTGCTTCCTGTCCTATGGTAGCCTGGTTACCAGTCATATCACTACCCTGCTGCTTCCTGTCCTATGGTAGCCTGGTTACCAGTCATATCACTACCCTGCTGCTTCCTGTCCTATGGTAGCCTGGTTACCAGTCATATCACTACCCTGCTGCTTCCTGTCCTATGGTAGCCTGGTTACCAGTCATATCACTACCCTGCTGCTTCCTGTCCTATGGTAGCCTGGTTACCAGTCATATCACTACCCTGCTGCTTCCTGTCCTATGGTAGCCTGGTTACCAGTCATATCACTACCCCTGCTGCTTCCTGTCCTATGGTAGCCTGGGTTACCAGTCATATCACTACCCTGCTGCTTCCTGTCCTATGGTAGCCTGGTTACCAGTCATATCCCCCCCATCACTACCACACTACCCTGCTGCTTCCTGTCCTATGGTAGCCTGGTTACCAGTCATATCACTACCCTGCTGCTTCCTGTCCTATGGTAGCCTGGTTACCAGTCATATCACTACCCTGCTGCTTCCTGTCCTATGGTAGCCTGGTTACCAGTCATATCACTACCCTGCTGCTTCCTGTCCTATGGTAGCCTGGTTACCAGTCATATCACTACCCTGCTGCTTCCTGTCCTATGGTAGCCTGGTTACCAGTCATATCACTACCCTGCTGCTTCCTGTCCTATGGTAGCCTGGTTACCAGTCATATCACTACCCTGCTGCTTCCTGTCCTATGGTAGCCTGGTTACCAGTCATATCACTACCCTGCTGCTTCCTGTCCTATGGTAGCCTGGTTACCAGTCATATCACTACCCTGCTGCTTCCTGTCCTATGGTAGCCTGGTTACCAGTCATATCACTACCCTGCTGCTTCCTGTCCTATGGTAGCCTGGTTACCAGTCATATCACTACCCTGCTGCTTCCTGTCCTATGGTAGCCTGGTTACCAGTCATATCACTACCCTGCTGCTTCCTGTCCTATGGTAGCCTGGTTACCAGTCATATCACTACCCTGCTGCTTCCTGTCCTATGGTAGCCTGGTTACCAGTCATATCACTACCCTGCTGCTTCCTGTCCTATGGTAGCCTGGTTACCAGTCATATCACTACCCTGCTGCTTCCTGTCCTATGGTAGCCTGGTTACCAGTCATATCACTACCCTGCTGCTTCCTGTCCTATGGTAGCCTGGTTACCAGTCATATCACTACCCTGCTGCTTCCTGTCCTATGGTAGCCTGGTTACCAGTCATATCACTACCCTGCTGCTTCCTGTCCTATGGTAGCCTGGTTACCAGTCATATCACTACCCTGCTGCTTCCTGTCCTATGGTAGCCTGGTTACCAGTCATATCACTACCCTGCTGCTTCCTGTCCTATGGTAGCCTGGTTACCAGTCATATCACTACCCTGCTGCTTCCTGTCCTATGGTAGCCTGGTTACCAGTCATATCACTACCCTGCTGCTTCCTGTCCTATGGTAGCCTGGTTACCAGTCATATCACTACCCTGCTGCTTCCTGTCCTATGGTAGCCTGGTTACCAGTCATATCACTACCCTGCTGCTTCCTGTCCTATGGTAGCCTGGTTACCAGTCATATCACTACCCTGCTGCTTCCTGTCCTATGGTAGCCTGGTTACCAGTCATATCACTACCCTGCTGCTTCCTGTCCTATGGTAGCCTGGTTACCAGTCATATCACTACCCTGCTGCTTCCTGTCCTATGGTAGCCTGGTTACCAGTCATATCACTACCCTGCTGCTTCCTGTCCTATGGTAGCCTGGTTACCAGTCATATCACTACCCTGCTGCTTCCTGTCCTATAGTAGCCTGGTTACCAGTCATATCACTACCCTGCTGCTTCCTGTCCTATGGTAGCCTGGTTACCAGTCATATCACTACCCTGCTGCTTCCTGTCCTATGGTAGCCTGGGTACCAGTCATATCACTACCCTGCTGCTTCCTGTCCTATGGTAGCCTGGGTACCAGTCATATCACTACCCTGCTGCTTCCTGTCCTATGGTAGCCTGGTTACCAGTCATATCACTACCCTGCTGCTTCCTGTCCTATGGTAGCCTGGTTACCAGTCATATCACTACCCTGCTGCTTCCTGTCCTATGGTAGCCTGGTTACCAGTCATATCACTACCCTGCTGCTTCCTGTCCTATGGTAGCCTGGTTACCAGTCATATCACTACCCTGCTGCTTCCTGTCCTATGGTAGCCTGGTTACCAGTCATATCACTACCCTGCTGCTTCCTGTCCTATGGTAGCCTGGTTACCAGTCATATCACTACCCTGCTGCTTCCTGTCCTATGGTAGCCTGGTTACCAGTCATATCACTACCCTGCTGCTTCCTGTCCTATGGTAGCCTGGTTACCAGTCATATCACTACCCTGCTGCTTCCTGTCCTATGGTAGCCTGGTACCAGTCATATCACTACCCTGCTGCTTCCTGTCCTATGGTAGCCTGGTTACCAGTCATATCACTACCCTGCTGCTTCCTGTCCTATGGTAGCCTGGTTACCAGTCATATCACTACCCTGCTGCTTCCTGTCCTATGGTAGCCTGGTTACCAGTCATATCACTACCCTGCTGCTTCCTGTCCTATGGTAGCCTGGTTACCAGTCATATCACTACCCTGCTGCTTCCTGTCCTATGGTAGCCTGGTTACCAGTCATATCACTACCCTGCTGCTTCCTGTCCTATGGTAGCCTGGTTACCAGTCATATCACTACCCTGCTGCTTCCTGTCCTATGGTAGCCTGGTTACCAGTCATATCACTACCCTGCTGCTTCCTGTCCTATGGTAGCCTGGTTACCAGTCATATCACTACCCTGCTGCTTCCTGTCCTATGGTAGCCTGGTTACCAGTCATATCACTACCCTGCTGCTTCCTGTCCTATGGTAGCCTGGTTACCAGTCATATCACTACCCTGCTGCTTCCTGTCCTATGGTAGCCTGGTTACCAGTCATATCACTACCCTGCTGCTTCCTGTCCTATGGTAGCCTGGTTACCAGTCATATCACTACCCTGCTGCTTCCTGTCCTATGGTAGCCTGGTTACCAGTCATATCACTACCCTGCTGCTTCCTGTCCTATGGTAGCCTGGTTACCAGTCATATCACTACCCTGCTGCTTCCTGTCCTATGGTAGCCTGGTTACCAGTCATATCACTACCCTGCTGCTTCCTGTCCTATGGTAGCCTGGTTACCAGTCATATCACTACCCTGCTGCTTCCTGTCCTATGGTAGCCTGGTTACCAGTCATATCACTACCCTGCTGCTTCCTGTCCTATGGTAGCCTGGTTACCAGTCATATCACTACCCTGCTGCTTCCTGTCCTATGGTAGCCTGGTTACCAGTCATATCACTACCCTGCTGCTTCCTGTCCTATGGTAGCCTGGTTACCAGTCATATCACTACCCTGCTGCTTCCTGTCCTATGGTAGCCTGGTACCAGTCATATCACTACCCTGCTGCTTCCTGTCCTATGGTAGCCTGGTTACCAGTCATATCACTACCCTGCTGCTTCCTGTCCTATGGTAGCCTGGTTACCAGTCATATCACTACCCTGCTGCTTCCTGTCCTATGGTAGCCTGGTTACCAGTCATATCACTACCCTGCTGCTTCCTGTCCTATGGTAGCCTGGTTACCAGTCATATCACTACTGCTGCTTCCTGTCCTTGTAGCCTGGTACCAGTCATATCACTACCTGCTGCTTCCTGTCCTATGGTAGCCTGGTTACCAGTCATATCACTACCCTGCTGCTTCCTGTCCTATGGTAGCCTGGTTACCAGTCATATCACTACCCTGCTGCTTCCTGTCCTATGGTAGCCTGGTTACCAGTCATATCACTACCCTGCTGCTTCCTGTCCTATGGTAGCCTGGTTACCAGTCATATCACTACCCTGCTGCTTCCTGTCCTATGGTAGCCTGGTTACCAGTCATATCACTACCCTGCTGCTTCCTGTCCTATGGTAGCCTGGTTACCAGTCATATCACTACCCTGCTGCTTCCTGTCCTATGGTAGCCTGGTTACCAGTCATATCACTACCCTGCTGCTTCCTGTCCTATGGTAGCCTGGGTACCAGTCATATCACTACCCTGCTGCTTCCTGTCCTATGGTAGCCTGGGTACCAGTCATATCACTACCCTGCTGCTTCCTGTCCTATGGTAGCCTGGGTACCATTCTGTTTAGTTAACATTCCACTCCTTGTCATGCCAATCATGTTTGGCATGACAAGGAGTGGGATGTTATCCCAAACAGTGTGTATTTCTCCAGGCTAGCCCTATGGACTTCTCTGCTCCCCAGATTGTATATAGTTTAATGTTGTTGTTGATGATGTTCCCCTTCCTCCTCCGTTTCTCTGCCTCTTGTTTGTCTTTGTTAAAGTGTGTTGTGAGTGACCCCTGTTAAATGCACTTTAACTGGATCTGCCTTCACCCCCCAGGCAGGGCTCAGACGCTGTGCTGGAGCAGGATGTCCCTGGGTCCCAGAGAGACTCGGGCAGTCCAATGGAGGCCTCCCCTGCTGACCTGGCACCCCCAGCAGATCTGGCACCAGAGGCAGGCCCACAGTGGAAGAGCAGAGGCTGGCCTTACACCATAGCCAGGCTGGTTATGGAGCCAGACAGCCAGGTAAGAGAAGAGAGTGAAGCAGCATGGTTGAGGTTTTAATGCAAATGAGTTGTTAAATCACTTGGTGGATTGATAATGGTGAGGGAAGTGAGCAGGAGGGATAAGGCTTTAATGGAGTAATTCAACTCATGGCTTGAATTTGAATTAACTTCTTGAATGACCTCATCTTCTAACCCTGGTGTACAGGATTCATGACCTCATCTTCTAACCCTGGTGTACAGGATTCATAACCTCATCTTCTAATCCCGGTGTACAGGATTCATGACCTCATCTTCTAACCCCGGTGTACAGGATTCATGACCTCATCTTCTAACCCTGGTGTACAGGATTCATGACCTCATCTTCTAACCCTGGTGTACAGGATTCATGACCTCATCTTCTAACCCTGGTGTACAGGATTCATGACCTCATCTTCTAACCCTGGTGTACAGGATTCTACGGCCTCTCTAGAGCAGCCTGTAGCTGAGAGGGAGGAGCCGGTAGCTGAGAGGGAGGAATCGGTATCCAACGGGGAGGAGTCAGTCAGCCGGGCGGACCCACTAAGCCCCGCCTCCACCTGCAGCCCACCCACACGGAAGTATCGCAAACGACGAGCCAGAGAGAGAACCATAGAGTAAGTCAAGAACAAGAAAACAATGTCCAATCCCGGAGCTCGAGTAAATGACATCACTAAGCTGCTCCCCAATGTACTACGCCAGGACATGGAAATGGATTCTATCGTAGTCCATGTGGGTTTTAATGACATTATGAAGGGCAGCTCTGAACAGTTGAAACTGGATTTTTAAAGAACTGATTGACTCTCTGCTAGACACTAACAAAATACCCATCATATCTGGCTCTGTGCCCTCTCTGAATCGTGGCATTGAACGCTTTAGCAGGATTCTTGCTCTTCACAATTGGCTACGTGATTATTGCAGCTCAATGGGTGTAACTTTTGTTGACAATTTCAATACCTTTTGGAAACAAAACACGTTTTATAAGGAGGGTGGGATCCACCCAAATCATTTGGGTTCCTGGATCCTTTCGCAGCATTATAAGGCTGCGTTGAGACAATGACTTATCAATGACCCAAGCCCAGCTCAGCTAATCCCTACCATTGTGACACAAGAGTTGTCAAAATTGTCAAAGGCGCACAATTGGCCCGGCGTCGTCCAGGGTAGGGGAGGGAATGGCCGGCAGGGATGTAGCTCAGTTGGTAGAGCATGGCGTTTGCAACGCAGGGGTTGTGGGTTCGATTCCCAGTACTCACTAACTGTAAGTCGCTCTGGATAAGAGCGTCTGCTAAATGACTAAAATGTAAAATGTAAGAAACAAGGTTCATGAAATCAATAATTTGCTAGTAACAGATGACATTCATATTCTGACTATCTCTGAAACTCACTTAAATAATACCTTTGAGGATACAGTGGTAGCAATACAAGGTTATAACATTTACAGAAAATACAGAAATGCCAATGGTGGAGGTGTTGCTGTTTATATTCAGAACCACATTCCTGTGAAGATTAGCGAGGATCTCATGTTAAATACTGTTGAAGTAATATGGCTAAAGGTTCATCTGCCTCACCTAAAGCCCATTCTGGTGGGAAGCTGCTATAGACCACCAAGTGCTAACAGTCAGTATCTGGATAATATGTGTGACATGTTTGGTTAAATCCCAGTGGATTGAGGGGAATTGAATAATTGTATGGTTGAGAGGGATGAGGCAAAAGGAATGGCAAATAAGTCTGATTGCACAACCGATTGGCAAACGTACTGCAAATTGAGAAATTATGTGACTAAACTGAATAAAAAGAAGAAATAACTACACTATGAAACAAAGATAAATGACACAAAGAATGATAGTAAAAAGCTTTGGAGCACCTTCAATTACATTTTGGGGAAAAAGGCAAACTCAGCTCCATCATTCATTGAATCAGATGGCTCATTCATCACAAAACCCACTGATATCGCCAACTACTTTAATACTTTTTTCATTGGCAAAATTAGCAAACTTAGGCATGACATGCCAGCAACAATTGCTGACACTACACATCCAAGTATATCTGACAAAATTATGAAAGACAAGCATAGTAATTTTGAATTCCGTAAAATGAGTGTGGAAGAGGTGAAAAAAGTATTGTTGTCTATCAACAATGACAAGCCACCGGGGTCTGACAACTTGGATGGAAGATTACTGAGGATAATAGCGGACGATATTGCCACTCCTATTTGCCATATCTTCAATTTACAGTGGGGGAAAAAAGTATTTAGTCAGCCACCAATTGTGCAAGTTCTCCCACTTAAAAAGATGAGAGGCCTGTAATTTTCATCATAGGTACACGTCAACTATGACAGACAAATTGAGAGAAAAAAATCCAGAAAATCACATTCTTTTTATTTGCAAATTATGGTGGAAAATAAGTATTTGGTCACCTACAAACAAGCAAGATTTCTGGCTCTCACAGACCTGTAACTTCTTCTTTAAGAGGCTCCTCTGTCCTCCACTCGTTACCTGTATTAATGACACCTGTTTGAACTTGTTATCAGTATAAAAGACACCTGTCCACAACCTCAAACAGTCACACTCCAAACTCCACTATGGCCAAGACCAAAGAGCTGTCAAAGGACACCAGAAACAAAATTGTAGACCTGCACCAGGCTGGGAAGACTGAATCTGCAATAGGTAAGCAGCTTGGTTTGAAGAAATCAACAGTGGGAGCAATTATTAGGAAATGGAAGACATACAAGACCACTGATAATCTCCCTCCATCTGGGGCTCCACGCAAGATCTCACCCCGTGGGGTCAAAATGATCACAAGAACGGTGAGCAAAAATCCCAGAACCACACGGGGGGACCTAGTGAATGACCTGCAGAGAGCTGGGACCAAAGTAACAAAGCCTACCATCAGTAACACACTACGCCGCCAGGGACTCAAATCCTGCAGTGCCAGACGTGTCCCCCTGCTTAAGCCAGTACATGTCCAGGCCCGTCTGAAGTTTGCTAGAGTGCATTTGGATGATCCAGAAGAGGATTGGGAGAATGTCATATGGTCAGATGAAACCAAAATAGAACTTTTTGGTAAAAACTCAACTCGTCGTGTTTGGAGGACAAGGAATGCTGAGTTGCATCCAAAGAACACCATACCTACTGTGAAGCATGGGGGTGGAAACATAATGCTTTGGGGCTGTTTTTCTGCAAAGGGACCAGGACGACTGATCCGTGTAAAGGAAAGAATGAATGGGGCCATGTATCGGGAGATTTTGAGTGAAAACCTCCTTCCATCAGCAAGGGCATTGAAGATGAAACGTGGCTGGGTCTTTCAGCATGACAATGATCCCAAACACACCGCCCGGGCAACGAAGGAGTGGCTTCGTAAGAAGCATTTCAAGGTCCTGGAAGGTCCTGGAGTGGCCTAGCCAGTCTCCAGATCTCAACCCCATAGAAAATCTTTGGAGGGAGTTGAAAGTCTGTGTTGCCCAGCGACAGCCCCAAAACATCACTGCTCTAGAGGAGATCTGCATGGAGGAATGGGCCAAAATACCAGCAACAGTGTGTGAAAACCTTGTGAAGACTTACAGAAAACGTTTGACCTGTGTCATTGCCAACAAAGGGTATATAACAAAGTATTGAGAAACTTTTGTTATTGACCAAATACTTATTTTCCACCATAATTTGCAAATAAATTCATTAAAAATCCTACAATGTGATTTTCTGGAAAAAAAATTCTCATTTTATAATAATAATTTTGTCTGTCATAGTTGACGTGTACCTATGATGAAAATTACAGGCCTCTCTCATCTTTTTAAGTGGGAGAACTTGCACAATTGGTGGCTGACTAAATACTTTTTTCCCCACTGTAAGCCTACTAGAAAGTGTGTGCCCCCAGGCTTGGAGGGAAGCAAAAGTCATTCCGCTACCTAAGAATAGTAAAGCCCCCTTTACTGGCTCAAATAGCCGACCAATTAGCCTGTTACCAACCCTTAGTAAACTATTGGAAAAAATGGTGTTTGACCAGATACAATGCTATTTTACAGTAAACAAATTGACAACAAACTTTCAGCATGCTTATAGAGAAGGACATTCAACAAGCACAGCACTTACACAAATGACCGATGATTGGCTGAGAGAAATTGATGATAAAAAGATTTTGGGGGCTGTTTTGTTAGACTTCAGTGCGGCTTTTGACATTATCGATCATAGTCTGCTGCTGGAAAAACGTATGTGTTATGGCTTTACACCCCCTGCTATATTGTGGATAAAGAGTTACCTGTCTAACAGAACACAGAGGGTGTTCTTTAATGGAAGCCTCTCCAACATAATCCAGGTAGATTCAGGAATTCCCCAGGGCAGCTGTCTAGGCCCCTTACTTTTTTCAATCTTTACTAACGACATGCCACTGGCTTTGAGTAAAGCCAGTATGTCTATGTATGTGGATGACTCAACACTATACACGTCAGCTACTACAGCGACTGAAATGACTGCAACACTTAATAAAGAGTTGCAGTTAGTTTCAGAATGGGTGACAAGGAATAAGTTAGTCCTAAATATTTCTAAAACTAAAAGCATTGAATTTGGGACAAATCATTCACTAAACCCTAAACTTAAACTAAATCTTGTAATAATTAATGTGGAAACTGAGCAAGTTGAGGTGACTAAACTGCTTGGAGTAACCCTGGATTGTAAACTGTCATGGTCAAAACATACTGATACAACAGTAGCTAAGATGGGGAGAAGTATGTCCATAATTAAGCGCTGCTCTACCTTCTTAACAACACTATCAACAACACTATCAACAAGCCCTAGTTTTGTCACACCTGGACTACTGTTCAGTCGTGTGGTCAGGTGCCACAAAGAGGGACTTGGGAAAATTACAATTGGCTCAGAACAGGGCAGCACGGCTGGCCCTTAAAAGCACACGGAGAGCTAACATTAATGACATGCATGTCAGTCTCTCCTGGCTCAGAGTGGAAGAGAGATTGACTTCATCACTGCTTGTTTTTTTAAAGAGGTGTTGACAAGCTGAATGTACTGAGCTGTCTGTTTGGAATAATAGCACACAGCTCGGACACCCATGCATATCCCACAAGACATGCCACCAGAGGTCTCTTCACAGTCCCCAAGTCCAGAACAGACTACGGGAAACGCACAGTACTACATAGAGCCATGACTACATGGAACTCTATTCCACATCAAGTAACTGATGCAAGCAGTAAAGTCAGATTTAAAAAAACAGATAAAAATACACTTTATGGAACAGCGCGGACTGTGAAGAGACACAAGGCACACACAGCATTCGCAAACACATGCTAACACCCGCACTCTACACACATACATTTTTATATTGTTAATTTGCTGTATTATTGATTTTGTATTGTAAATATATTATGGTAGAGTGTTGTGTATTAAGGTATTGTTTTATTGTATGTAAATTGTGGTTGGACCCCAGGAAGAGTATCTGCTGCCTTGGCAGCCGCTAATGGGGATCCGTAATAAACCCCAGGAAGAGTAGCTGTTGCCTTGGCAGCCGCTAATGGGGATCCGTAATAAATACAAAGACAAGGACGTCCCTGCATATAGTACTGCGTTAATGGTAGGGCCTTTTAACCAGCTCTCTTTGACTTTAACAGCCGAGGGTAGTGGAAGCTGACTGAAACGGAGAGGGAATAAGAAACGCCTGGCGTGCCCTAATGAATACGACCTCTGTCTCCAGGTCCTCGTCTGACCCCGAGGAGGATGTGTGTATTCTGGATGACACCCCTGAGCCCCCTGAGCATGTAGAACGTACCACCCGGTCCGTCTCCACCCCCCAGAGAGGCTCCACCCCCCAGAGAGGCTCCACCCCCCAGAGAGGCTCCACCCCCCAGAGAGGCTCCACCCCCCAGAGAGGCTCCACCCCCCAGAGAGGCTCATCCAATCAGAGAAGCTCTTCACATAAGAGGAGCTCCACCCCTCAGAACGAATCCACCAGTAAAAAGGGAACCGATCCGAAGTGGTATGTAGAGCTATATAGCTTCAGAATAGTTCTGTCTTCTCCACTGGGATATGATTCTAGGAGACATTTTGGTTATGTATTTCAGGGATAAGGTAGAGGATGATGTTCAAATCACAGCTGATTTGACTTTCTCTCTCTCTCTTTATAATGGTGCTGTCATCTGCAGGAAGCAGCTATTCAGTGTTGCCAAGGAATCCAAGGATAGGTGGAGCGATGAAGATGATTTATTTGACTCCCCTCACAAAGACAGTAATTATGATGATCAACAGTTATGATTCAAAACTGTGTGGTGTTTTATTACTAGGCATTTTACTATGGAGTTCTAACCTATGTCTTTGTTTTAGGTTCTGGAGACAGCAACAGAACCAGTACCACTGGAGGTGGCAGGAAGAGGGTGAGTTTAGGTTCTGGAGACAGAACCAGTACCACTGGAGGTGGCAGGAAGAGGGTGAGTTTAGGTTCTGGAGGCAGCAACAGAACCAGTACCACTGGAGGTGGCAGGAAGAGGGTGAGTTTAGGTTCTGGAGACAGAACCAGTACCACTGGAGGTGGCAGGAAGAGGGTGAGTTTAGGTTCTGGAGGCAGCAACAGAACCAGTACCACTGGAGGTGGCAGGAAGAGGGTGAGTTTAGGTTCTGGAGGCAGCAACAGAACCAGTACTACTGGAGGAGACAGGAAGAGGGTGAGTTTAGGTTCTGGAGACAGCAACAGAACCAGTACCACTGGAGGAGACAGGAAGAGGGTGAGTTTAGGTTCTGGAGACAGCAACAGAACCAGTACTACTGGAGGTGGCAGGAAGAGGGTGAGTTTAGGTTCTGGAGGCAGCAACAGAACCAGTACTACTGGAGGAGACAGGAAGAGGGTGAGTTTAGGTTCTGGAGACAGGAAGAGGGTGAGTTTAGGTTCTGGAGACAGCAACAGAACCAGTACTACTGGAGGTGGCAGGAAGAGGGTGAGTTTAGGTTCTGGAGGCAGCAACAGAACCAGTACTACTGGAGGTGGCAGGAAGAGGGTGAGTTTAGGTTCTGGAGACAGCAACAGAACCAGTACCACTGGAGGTGGCAGGAAGAGGGTGTTTTTAGGTTCTGGAGGCAGCAACAGAACCAGTACCACTGGAGGTGGCAGGAAGAGGGTGAGTTTAGGTTCTGGAGACAGAACCACTACGACTGGAGGAGACAGGAAGAGGGTGAGTTTAGGTTCTGGAGGCAGCAACAGAACCAGTACTACTGGAGGTGGCAGGAAGAGGGTGAGTTTAGGTTCTGGAGACAGAACCAGTACGACTGGAGGAGACAGGAAGAGGGTGAGTTTAGGTTATGGAGACAGCCTCAGTTTAGAAGATGGTGACATTCTGGAAAATATTCAGACCCCTTCCCCTTTATCCACAGTTTGTTACGTTACAGCCTTATTCTAAAATTGATTAAATTAATTTTTAAAAATCCTCATCAATCTACACACAATACCCCATAATGACAAAGTGAAAACAGGTTTTTAGAAATGTTTGCAAATTTATACAAAGTAAAAGACAGAAATACCTTATTTACATAAGTATTCAGACCCTTTGCTATGAGACTCAAAATTGAGCCATCCTTGAGATGTTTCTACAACTTGGAGTCCACCTGGGGTAAATTCAATTGATTGGACATGATTTGGAAAGGCACACACCTGTCTATATAAGGTCCCACAGTTGACAGTGCATGTCAGAGCAAAAACCAAGCCATGAGGTCGAAGGAATTGTCCGTAGAGCTCCGAGACAGGATTGTGTCGAGGCACAGATCTGGAGAAGGGTACCAAAAAATGTCTGCAGCATTGAAGGTCCCCAAGAACACAGTGGCCTCCATCATTCTGAAATAGAAGAAGTTTGGAACCACCAAGACTCTTCCTAGAGCTGGCTGCCCAGCCAAACTGAGCAATCGGGGGAGAAGGGCCTTGGTCAGGGAGGTGACCAAGAACCCGATGGTCACTCTGACAGAGCTCCGCTATGGAGATGGGAGAACCTTCCAGAAGGACAACAATCTCTGCAGCACTCCACCAATCAGGCCTTTATGGTAGAGTGGCCAGACGGAAGCCACTCCTCAGTAAAAGGCACATGACAGACCGCTTGGAGTTTGCCAAAAGGCACCTAAAGACTCTCAGACCAGGAGAAACAAGATTCTCTGGTCTGATGAAACCAAGATTGAACTCTTTGGCCTGAATGCCAAGCGTCACGTCTGGAGGAAACCTGGCACCATCCCTACGATGAAGCATGGTGGTGGCAGCATCATGCTCTGGGGATGTTTTTCAGCGGTAGGGACTGGGAGATTAGTCATGATCGAGGGAAAAGTGAACAGAGCAAAGTACAGAGAGATCCTTGATGAAAACCTGCTCCAGAGCGCTCAGGACCTCGGACTGGGGCGAAGGTTCACCTTCCAACAGGACAACAACCTTAAGCACATAGCCAAGACAACGCAGGAGTGGCTTCGGGACAAGTCTCTGAATGTCCTTGAGTGGCCCAGCCAGAGCCCGGACTTGAACCCAATCAAAACATCTCTGGAGAGACCTGAAAATAGCTGTCCAACCTGACAGAGCTTGAGAGGATCTGCAGAGAAGAATGGGAGAAACTCCCCAAATACAGGTGTGCCAAGCTTGTAGCGTCATACCCAAGAAGACTCGAGGCTGTAATCGCTGCCAAAGGTGCTTCAACAAAGTACTGTGTAAATCGTCTGAATACTTATGTAAATGTAAAATGTACGTTTTTTTATATTTTGTATATATTTGCTAATAATTGTAAAAACTTGTTTTGGCTTCATCATTATTGGGGTATTGTGTGTAGATTGATGAGGAAAAAAACGATTTAATCCATTTTAGAATAAGGCTGTATCGTAACAAAATGTGGAAAAAGTCAAGGGGTCTGAATACTTTCCAAATGCACTGTAGGTTTTTAAATGTTGATGGTTTCCTGGACACAGATTTAAGGCTAGTCCTGGACTAAACAGCAAACAACTCAATGGAGAATCAGGACTAGGCTTAATCTGTGTCCGGGAAACCTCTACATAATGTATACTATGTTAACCCTAAGTGTTGGCCTCTACAGTGTGTATACTATGTTAACCCTAAGTGTTGTCCTCTACAGTGTGTATACTATGTTAACCCTAAGTGTTGTCCTCTACAGTGTGTATACTATGTTAACCCTAAGTGTTGTCCTCTACAGTGTTGTATACTATGTTAACCCTAAGTGTTGTCCTCTACAGTGTGTATACTATGTTAACCCTAAGTGTTGTCCTCTACAGTGTGTATACTATGTTAACCCTAAGTGTTGTCCTCTACAGTGTGTATACTATGTTAACCCTAAGTGTTGTCCTCTACAGTGTGTATACTATGTTAACCCTAAGTGTTGTCCTCTACAGTGTGTATACTATGTTAACCCTAAGTGTTGTCCTCTACAGTGTGTATACTATGTTAACCCTAAGTGTTGTCCTCTACAGTGTGTATACTATGTTAACCCTAAGTGTTGTCCTCTACAGTGTGTATACTATGTTAACCCTAAGTGTTGTCCTCTACAGTGTGTATACTATGTTAACCCTAAGTGTTGTCCTCTACAGTGTGTATACTATGTTAACCCTAAGTGTTGTCCTCTACAGTGTGTATACTATGTTAACCCTAAGTGTTGTCCTCTACAGTGTGTATACTATGTTAACCCTAAGTGTTGTCCTCTACAGTGTGTATACTATGTTAACCCTAAGTGTTGTCCTCTACAGTGTGTATACTATGTTAACCCTAAGTGTTGTCCTCTACAGTGTGTATACTATGTTAACCCTAAGTGTTGTCCTCTACAGTGTGTATACTATGTTAACCCTAAGTGTTGTCCTCTACAGTGTGTATACTATGTTAACCCTAAGTGTTGTCCTCTACAGTGTGTATACTATGTTAACCCTAAGTGTTGTCCTCTACAGTGTGTATACTATGTTAACCCTAAGTGTTGTCCTCTACAGTGTGTATACTATGTTAACCCTAAGTGTTGTCCTCTACAGTGTGTATACTATGTTAACCCTAAGTGTTGTCCTCTACAGTGTGTATACTATGTTAACCCTAAGTGTTGTCCTCTACAGTGTGTATACTATGTTAACCCTAAGTGTTGTCCTCTACAGTGTGTATACTATGTTAACCCTAAGTGTTGTCCTCTACAGTGTGTATACTATGTTAACCCTAAGTGTTGTCCTCTACAGTGTTGTATACTATGTTCACCCTAAGTGTTGTCCTCTACAGTGTGTATACTATGTTAACCCTAAGTGTTGTCCTCTACAGTGTGTATACTATGTTAACCCTAAGTGTTGTCCTCTACAGTGTGTATACTATGTTAACCCTAAGTGTTGTCCTCTACAGTGTGTATACTATGTTAACCCTAAGTGTTGTCCTCTACAGTGTGTATACTATGTTAACCCTAAGTGTTGTCCTCTACAGTGTGTATACTATGTTAACCCTAAGTGTTGTCCTCTACAGTGTGTATACTATGTTAACCCTAAGTGTTGTCCTCTACAGTGTGTATACTATGTTAACCCTAAGTGTTGTCCTCTACAGTGTGTATACTATGTTAACCCTAAGTGTTGTCCTCTACAGTGTTGTATACTATGTTAACCCTAAGTGTTGTCCTCTACAGTGTTGTATACTATGTTAACCCTAAGTGTTGTCCTCTACAGTGTGTATACTATGTTAACCCTAAGTGTTGTCCTCTACAGTGTGTATACTATGTTAACCCTAAGTGTTGTCCTCTACAGTGTGTATACTATACCTTGAGTGTTCTGTTGTGTCTCTACTGTAGATGTGGACAGCAGAGGAGACCGAGTGGGTGAAGGATGGAGTGCGTCGCTATGGAGAGGGGAACTGGACCAGAGTAAAGTCCTCTTTCCCCTTCGTCGGCCGAACATCCGTCAACATCAAGGATAGGTGGAGAACCATGAAGAAACTAAAGATGGTCTGAGGGCACCAAACAGAAGAACACTGGCTAAAACAGGGGAAGGACTATCTACTAACTTGTCCTATAAGAAATGCTCCTTTTTCGCTTTGTTGCAAAATGTTTTTCTACGGGGTGCAGTAATGAATCCGACCCTGGAGAGGGCCTCTGAGCTACGTAAGAGAATGACGACATTATCCAGTTGAGAGAATGGATGCAGACTTTTAAACGTTTTCTTTCCACAAAATGTTGATTTTGTTAAATTAACATTTACCCCGCCGCACATCCATCAACGATGAGAACGGGTGGAGGACCATGAAGAAGCTAAAGATGGGCTGAGGGCCTTTGGACTAAGCAAGAGGGAATAGGTCGATTATCCAGCTAATCTAAATGGATGTTTTAGAAATGTTCTAGAATATGTTCAATGTTGATTCTGCCACTTTTTAACAGATTCTTGAAATAAGACAGACAGTCTTTCTTCGTAGAATAAAGACTTCTCTTATACTGACTGGCCTAATGTTTACCACAGGACTGGCAAGCTTACTGCATTGAGTTGTTACAGTTAAGACCAGTGTTTAATAGCTACAGTAAATACATGCTATATTGAAGTGATGTTAGTGCCAGAATCCAACATTTTATGATCGTTTTATTTGTAGAAAAAAAATACATTTCAGTATATCACAAGTTAATGTTATGCAGATGGAATTATTAACTGTATAATAGTATTTATGTAAATCGCTCTAACAGTAGTTCCATGCTCAAACCAGAGATCCATACAGATTAGGAATACTACACAAAACCCCAATATTCAATTTACAGAACAAATCCAGGGACAGAAAACTATTAGATTTGGTGATTTACATCACTAAGGATTCAGCCATAGGGATGGGATGTTGGATGCTGTCATCTTGATGAAACTATCCAGACAGTCACTGGCCCTATGGTAATCACAGGGAAATACACAATCGTATCCTGTTTCCCAACCGTCTCCAAGACCACCAGACGTTTTCACATAGCTGTCCTTCCCAACCCTCTCCTCGGGGACCACCAGATGTTTTCACATAGCTGTACCTCCCAACCCTCTCCTCGGGGACCACCAGACGTTTTCACATAGCTGTACTTCCCAACCCCCTGGTGGTCCCTGCGGAGAGGGTTGGGAAGTACTACTGTGCATAATTGATAGTCCAGTTTGTGAAGACTCCTCTATGTGAGCGTGTCCTCAGACCTGATGAACTCTCCAATGTCCGCCTGGTGGAACACAACGATGGACAAGGGGTCCACTCTCCTGCACTCCTGGGTCGACTTGGCTGCCACTCCGAAACCCTGTGGAAGACAGAGGGGCACGTTCAGTTGAGTCAAACCTGCACATGACTGTCAAATATAATTCTCTAATGGTTACCTACAGTCGTGGTCAAAAGTTTTGAGAATGACACAAATACTAATTTTCACAAAAGTCCGCTGCCTCAGTTTTGATGATGGCAATTTGCATATACTCCAGAATGTCATGAAAAGTGATCAGATGAATTGCAAAGTCCCTCTTTGCCATGAAAATGAACTTAATCCCTCAAAAAACATTTCCACTGCATTTCAGCCCTGCCACAAAAGGACCAGCTGCCATCATGTCACTGATTCTCTCATTAACACAGGTGAGAGTGTTGACGAGGACAAGGCTGGAGATCACTCTGTCACGCTGATTGAGTTAGAATAACAGACTGGAAGCTTTAAAAGGAGGGTGGTGCTTGAAATCAATGTTCTTCCTCTGTTAACCATGCTTACCTGCAAGGAAACACGTGCCGTCATCATCGCTTTGCACAAAAAGGGCTTCACAGGCAAGGATATTGCTGCTAGTAAGATTGCACCTAAATCAACCATTTATCCGATCATCAAGAACTTCAAGGAGAGAGGTTCAATTGTTGTGAAGAAGGCGTCAGGGCGCCCAAGAAAGTCCAGCAAGCGCCAGGACCGTCTCCTTAAGTTGATTCAGCTGCGGGATTGGGGCACCACCAGTGCAGAGCTTGCTCAGGAATGGCAGCAGGCAGGTGTGAGTGCATCTGCATGCACAGTGAGGCGAATACTTTTGGAGGATGGCTTGGTGTCAAGAAGGGCAGCAAAGAAGACACTTATCTCCGGGAAAAACATCAGGGACAGACTGATATTCTGCAAAAGGTACAGGGATTGGACTGCTGAGGACTGGGGTAAAGTCATTTTCTCTGATGAATCCCCTTTCCGATTGTTTGGGGCATCCGGAAAACACCTTGTCCGGAGAAGACAAGGTGAGCGCTACCATCAGTCCTGTGTCATGCCAACAGTAAAGCATCCTGAGACCATTAATGTGTGGGGTTGCTTCTCAGCCAAGGGAGTGGGCTCACTCAAAATTTTGCCTAAGAACACAGCCATGAATAAAGAATGGTACCAACACATCCTCCGAGAGCAACTTCTCCCAACCATCCAAGAACAGTTTGGTGACGAACAATGCCTTTTCCAGCATGATGGAGCACCTTGCCATAAGGCAAAAGTGATAACTAAGTGGCTCGGGGAACAAAACATCGACATTTTGGGTCCATGGCCAGGAAACTCCCCAGACCTTAATCCCATTGAGAACTTGTGGTCAATCCTCAAGAGGCGGGTGGACAAACAAAAACCCACAAATTAGTAGACGTTAAGATTGTTGATGACTTAGATATTAGCTCCACATAGCTTGTTTGCAACGTCTTCAACAAGCTTGTATGAAGGAGCAACCAACCGTCAAATGAAGGAGCAACCAACCGTCAAATGAAGGAGCAACCAACCGTCAAATGATCACTATCCAAAAGAGATGCGGTGTAAAACTGGCAATCTGGGCCGGTTTACCATACAGATTAAGCCTAGTCCAGTCTGGGCCGGTTTACCATACAGATTAAGCCTAGTCCAGTCTGGGCCGGTTTACCATACAGATTAACCCTAGTCCAGTCTGGGGCGGTTTACCATACAGATTAAGCCTAGTCCAATCTGGGCTGGTTTACCATACAGATTAAGCCTAGTCCAGTCTGGGCCGGTTTACCATACAGATTAAGCCTAGTCCAGTCTGGGCCGGTTTACCATACAGATTAAGCCTAGTCCAGTCTGGGCCGGTTTACCATACAGATTAAGCCTAGTCCAGTCTGGGCCGGTTTACCATACAGATTAAGCCTAGTCCAGTCTGGGCCGGTTTACCATACAGATTAAGCCTAGTCCAGTCTGGGCCGGTTTACCATACAGATTAAGCCTAGTCCAATCTGGGCCGGTTTACCATACAGATTAAGCCTAGTCCAGTCTGGGCCGGTTTACCATACAGATTAAGCCTAGTCCAATCTGGGCCGGTTTACCATACAGATTAAGCCTAGTCCAATCTGGGCCGGTTTACCATACAGATTAAGCCTAGTCCAATCTGGGCCGGTTTACCATACAGATTAAGCCTAGTCCAATCTGGGCCGGTTTACCATACAGATTAAGCCTAGTCCAGTCTGGGCCGGTTTACCATACAGATTAAGCCTAGACCAATCTGGGCCGGTTTACCATACAGATTAAGCCTAGTCCAATCTGGGCCGGTTTACCATACAGATTAAGCCTAGTCCAATCTGGGCCGGTTTACCATACAGATTAAGCCTAGTCCAATCTGGGCCGGTTTACCATACAGATTAAGCCTAGTCCAGTCTGGGCCGGTTTACCATACAGATTAAGCCTAGTCCAGTCTGGGCCGGTTTACCATACAGATTAAGCCTAGTCCAGTCTGGGCCGGTTTACCATACAGATTAAGCCTAGTCCAGTCTGGGCCGGTTTACCATACAGATTAAGCCTAGTCCAGTCTGGGCCGGTTTACCATACAGATTAAGCCTAGTCCTGGACCAAAAAGCATTTGAAAACGCTTTTTTAGTCTGACTAGTTAACCTCTGTCTGAGGAAACCTGCCCTATATGTTGATGTGAATTTATTGGATAATGAATGTACAGTATGTGCAGGGAGGGCCAACTCACCAGTGGTACGTCTGCCATGGAATAGACCACCACTCCCTGGTACTGGTTAGTGTTCTCTGTGATCCTCCCCAGACCAGACTTCAACACGTGGTTCCCATAGAGGAAGGACTGCTCCTGCCCAGGCTTCACCCACACCTTGAACTGAACACACAGAGGGTTCAGTTACTCAGAGAATAGTGTTATTAGTGTTCTCTGTGATCCTCCCCAGACCAGACTTCAACACGTGGTTCCCATAGAGGAAGGACTGCTCCTGCCCAGGCTTCACCCACACCTTGAACTGAACACACAGAGGGTTCAGTTACTCAGAGAATAGTCTTATTACAGTACTACCAACGTCTTAACTGACATCCTGTAGGTTTTCAGAGAGATATTGGTTTTATAATAATATAATATGCCATTTAGCAGACGCTTTTATCCAAAGCGACTTACAGTCATGTGTGCATACATTTTTACGTATGGGTGGTCCCGGGGATCGAACCCACTACCCTGGCGTTACTAGCGCCGTGCTCTACCAATTGAGCTACAGAGGATTTGATGTTCATTTTAAAGCCTACACAAATATGATTATCGAACTTTAAACCTCTAGTCCTCAACTGGCTGTCGTCAGTGCCATTTAACAACATCTCCACTTCTAACATGACCTCTGGTTATCATTATACACACTGACATGTCAGAGCTCCATGCTTGTTGTTTACCTTGGCATACGGTGCCAGGAAGTCCAGCGCTGTGATGTGCAGGCGGAACTTAATGGTCTTGGTGAACTTCCCAAAGCAGGTACCCACCGACACCAACTTATCACGGGAGATGTTGGTCGCCAACTTCAGAATTCTCTCACTGATACAAAAAAAAGTGGAAACAAGATAATATCTTAGCTACCCATTTTCATCGGCATCTATATCACATGTTTACAAAGAGACGATCATGAAGTAGCCAGCTTTATAATATCCATAGAAAATCCTAACAATAACTAAAGCATTGTTTACCTGATGTAATACACACGGTCATTGTGAAGTCTGAAGCAATATGTCCCATCAGGTCTATCCACAAGGAGTTTGATGTTCTCACCAATGCTGTGGACAGAAAAGGGGAAGGTGTCACACACCGTCATTGTAGATTCAGAGAATATCGTCCCATTCCAAATCACATACCATCTACACAGACAACGTCCCATTCCATCTACACAGACAACGTCCCATTCCAAATCACATACCATCTACACAGACAACGTCCCATTCCAAATCACATGCCATCTACACAGACACCGTCCCATTCCAAATCACATGCCATCTAAACAGACAACGTCCCATTCCAAATCACATGCCATCTACACAGACAACGTCCCATTCCAAATCACATGCCATCTACACAGACAACGTCCCATTCCATCTATACAGACAACGTCCCATTCCAAATCACATGCCATCTACACAGACAACGTCCCATTCCAAATCACATGCCATCTACACAGACAACGTCCCCATTCCAAATCACATGCCATCTACACAGACAACGTCCCATTCCATCTACACAGACACCGTCCCATTCCAAATCACATGCCATCTACACAGACAACGTCCCATTCCATCTACACAGACACCGTCCCATTCCAAATCACATGCCATCTACACAGACAACGTCCCATTCCAAATCACATGCCATCTACACAGACACCGTCCCATTCCAAATCACATGCCATCTACACAGACACCGTCCCATTCCAAATCACATGCCATCTACACAGACAACGTCCCCATTCCAAATCACATGCCATCTACACAGACAACGTCCCATTCCAAATCACATGCCATCTACACAGACACCGTCCCATTCCAAATCACATGCCATCTACACAGACACCGTCCCATTCCAAATCACATGCCATCTACACAGACACCGTCCCATTCCAAATCACATGCCATCTACACAGACAACGTCCCATTCCAAATCACATGCCATCTACACAGACAACGTCCCATTCCAAATCACATGCCATCTACACAGACACCGTCCCATTCCAAATCACATGCCATCTACACAGACAACGTCCCATTCCATCTACACAGACAACGTCCCATTCCATCTATACAGACACCGTCCCATTCCAAATCACATGCCATCTACACAGACAACGTCCCCATTCCAAATCACATGCCATCTACACAGACAACGTCCCATTCCAAATCACATGCCATCTACACAGACAACGTCCCCATTCCAAATCACATGCCATCTACACAGACAACGTCCCCATTCCAAATCACATGCCATCTACACAGACAACGTCCCATTCCAAATCACATGCCATCTACACAGACAACGTCCCATTCCATCTACACAGACACCGTCCCATTCCAAATCACATGCCATCTACACAGACAACGTCCCATTCCAAATCACATGCCATCTACACAGACAACGTCCCATTCCAAATCACATGCCATCTACACAGACACCGTCCCATTCCAAATCACATGCCATCTACACAGACACCGTCCCATTCCAAATCACATGCCATCTACACAGACAACGTCCCATTCCATCTACACAGACAACGTCCCATGCCATCTACACAGACACCGTCCCATTCCAAATCACATGCCATCTACACAGACAACGTCCCATTCCATCTACACAGACAACGTCCCATGCCATCTACACAGACACCGTCCCATTCCAAATCACATGCCATCTACACAGACACCGTCCCATTCCAAATCACATGCCATCTACACAGACAACGTCCCATTCCAAATCACATGCCATCTACACAGACAACGTCCCATTCCAAATCACATACCATCTACACAGACAACGTCCCATTCCAAATCACATGCCATCTAAACAGACAACGTCCCATTCCAAATCACATTCCATCTACACAGACAACGTCCCATTCCAAATCACATGCCATCTACACAGACAACGTCCCATTCCAAATCACATGCCATCTACACAGACAACGTCCCATTCCAAATCACATGCCATCTACACAGACAACGTCCCATTCCATCTACACAGACAACGTCCCATTCCAAATCACATGCCATCTACACAGACACCGTCCCATTCCAAATCACAGGCCATCTACACAGACAACGTCCCATTCCAAATCACAGGCCATCTACACAGACAACGTCCCATTCCATCTACACAGACAACGTCCCATACCATCTACACAGACAACGTCCCATACCATCTACACAGACAACGTCCCATTCCATCTACACAGACAACGTCCCATTCCATCTACACAGACAACGTCCCATTCCAAATCACATGCCATCTACACAGACACCGTCCCATTCCAAATCACAGGCCATCTACACAGACAACGTCCCATTCCAAATCACATACCATCTACACAGACAACGTCCCCATTCCAAATCACATGCCATCTACACAGACAACGTCCCATTCCATCTACACAGACACCGTCCCATTCCATCTACACAGACAACGTCCCATACCATCTACACAGACAACGTCCCATTCCAAATCACATGCCATCTACACAGACACCGTCCCATACCATCTACACAGACAACGTCCCATTCCAAATCACATTCCATCTACACAGACAACGTCCCATTCCAAATCACATTCCATCTACACAGACAACGTCCCATTCCAAATCACATGCCATCTACACAGACAACGTCCCATTCCAAATCACATGCCATCTACACAGACACCGTCCCATTCCAAATCACATACCATCTACACAGACAACGTCCCATTCCAAATCACATGCCATCTACACAGACAACGTCCCATTCCATCTACACAGACACCGTCCCATTCCAAATCACATGCCATCTACACAGACAACGTCCCATTCCAAATCACATACCATCTACACAGACAACGTCCCATTCCAAATCACATGCCATCTACACAGACAACGTCCCATTCCAAATCACATGCCATCTACACAGACACCGTCCCATTCCAAATCACATGCCATCTACACAGACACCGTCCCATTCCAAATCACATGCCATCTACACAGACAACGTCCCATTCCAAATCACATACCATCTACACAGACAACGTCCCATTCCAAATCACATGCCATCTACACAGACAACGTCCCATTCCAAATCACATGCCATCTACACAGACACCGTATTAGCCAGTTTGTTGAGAAGCATAACTAGGCCGGTTAAAGACTGTCATCATGAGCATAGCACCAAAGAGACTGGATATGGACTGGAGGTTTTCAACCCTCTGCACAAGCTAGCTGGCAAACCTACTCCGGAGCTGGTTGATCAAGCATGGAGCTAGTCTTAACAGCCATGGCAGTTTCAAAATAACTTTCGCCTTGTCTTTCAAGATCACAATTCAATACTCACTATTTGGAGAGTTTCTCAAACATCGTTTTTGTCTCGTCGTCTGTTAGAGGCCTCATTTTGGTAAGTTATTCGCTAATTTCCTTACAATATTGTGCCCACTGAACGTAGCTTGATAAACGCTACAACGTGGGTATAGTGAGCGGAAATGCATCTGCAGGAAAACGGAAGTGGATTGTAATAGTGACGTCAAATTCATGCGCCTGTTCCTGTTGTGCTCTTGCCTTTACGAGCGAGCTATTTAGCGAAATTGCGAATTAAATAGCCATTTAAAAGACATCAGACGCTTACATTGTATTTTAACGACCTGTTTTCGTACTCCTGTGTTAAGACTGGAAATCGGAGTAAGGAACGTTACGCCTAAAATCCGGATGAAGTATTGAAGCGACAGCTTTCCAATATGACAGCTGTGGACGTGGAAGATGAGAGTATTCTGGCGTCAATATTCAAAGACAGCTTTCCAGACAACTGGAGAGACAACCCCGACTTCGCAGCCTACTTGTCGGAGCTCAGTTCGTATGGCGTGGAGAAATTAAACCGTGAACCGGAGCGGTTGGCGGAGGAGAGGGCGCAGATACTGCAGCAGACCCGAGAGCTCGCCTTCTCCAACTACAAGACGTTCATCCGCACTGCGGACTGCACCGAGGAGATATACCGCGACTTTGGGCGTGTGGAAAGCAGTGTTTCCAAACTCCTCGACAAGTTGCCCAGCTTCGGTGAAAAATGCAGGTTAGTGGTGACGTTAGCCAATTACTCTGTCGTTTTGACATGTCATGTTATTTAAGTGATAATGCCCGAGACGCCGGTGTTTGAAGGATATATTGGCACGGGTGTTTAAGCCTCTCTAGCCTGAGGGCCAGTCTGTTTGTGCCATCATGCCAACTCTAGCCTGAGTGCCAGTCTGTTTGTGCCATCATGCCAACTCTAGCCTGAGGGCCAGTCTGTTTGTGCCATCATGCCAACTCTAGCCTGAGGGCCAGTCTGTTTGTGCCATCATGCCAACTCTAGCCTGAGTGCCAGTCTGTTTGTGCCATCATGCCAACTCTAGCCTGAGGGCCAGTCTGTTTGTGCTATCATGCCAACTCTAGCCTGAGTGCCAGTCTGTTTGTGCCATCATGCCAACTCTAGCCTGAGGGCCAGTCTGTTTGTGCCATCATGCCAACTCTAGCCTGAGGGCCAGTCTGTTTGTGCCATCATGCCAACTCTAGCCTGAGGGCCAGTCTGTTTGTGCCATCATGCCAACTCTAGCCTGAGTGCCAGTCTGTTTGTGCCATCATGCCAACTCTAGCCTGAGGGCCAGTCTGTTTGTGCTATCATGCCAACTCTAGCCTGAGTGCCAGTCTGTTTGTGCCATCATGCCAACTCTAGCCTGAGGGCCAGTCTGTTTGTGCCATCATGCCAACTCTAGCCTGAGGGCCAGTCTGTTTGTGCCATCATGCCAACTCTAGCCTGAGGGCCAGTCTGTTTGTGCCATCATGCCAACTCTAGCCTGAGTGCCAGTATGTTTGTGCCATCATGCCAACTCTAGCCTGAGTGCCAGTCTGTTTGTGCCATCATGCCAACTCTAGCCTGAGTGCCAGTCTGTTTGTGCCATCATGCCAACTCTAGCCTGAGTGCCAGTCTGTTTGTGCCATCATGCCAACTCTAGCCTGAGGGCCAGTCTGTTTGTGCCATCATGCCAACTCTAGCCTGAGGGCCAGTCTGTTTGTGCCATCATGCCAACTCTAGCCTGAGGGCCAGTCTGTTTGTGCCATCATGCCAACTCTAGCCTGAGGGCCAGTCTGTTTGTGCCATCATGCCAACTCTAGCCTGAGGGCCAGTCTGTTTGTGCCATCATGCCAACTCTAGCCTGAGGGCCAGTCTGTTTGTGCCATCATGCCAACTCTAGCCTGAGGGCCAGTCTGTTTGTGCCATCATGCCAACTCTAGCCTGAGGGCCAGTCTGTTTGTGCCATCATGCCAACTCTAGCCTGAGGGCCAGTCTGTTTGTGCCATCATGCCAACTCTAGCCTGAGTGCCAGTCTGTTTGTGCCATCATGCCAACTCTAGCCTGAGGGCCAGTCTGTTTGTGCCATCATGCCAACTCTAGCCTGAGGGCCAGTCTGTTTGTGCCATCATGCCAACTCTAGCCTGAGTGCCAGTGTTTGTGCCATCATGCCAACTCTAGCCTGAGGGCCAGTCTGTTTGTGCCATCATGCCAACTCTAGCCTGAGGGCCAGTCTGTTTGTGCCATCATGCCAACTCTAGCCTGAGTGCCAGTCTGTTTGTGCCATCATGCCAACTCTAGCCTGAGTGCCAGTCTGTTTGTGCCATCATGCCAACTCTAGCCTGAGTGCCAGTCTGTTTGTGCCATCATGCCAACTCTAGCCTGAGGGCCAGTCTGTTTGTGCCATCATGCCAACTCTAGCCTGAGGGCCAGTCTGTTTGTGCCATCATGCCAACTCTAGCCTGAGGGCCAGTCTGTTTGTGCCATCATGCCAACTCTAGCCTGAGGGCCAGTCTGTTTGTGCCATCATGCCAACTCTAGCCTGAGGGCCAGTCTGTTTGTGCCATCATGCCAACTCTAGCCTGAGTGACAGTCTGTGTGTGCCATCATGCCAACTCTAGCCTGAGTGCCAGTCTGTTTGTGCCATCATGCCAACTCTAGCCTGAGGGCCAGTCTGTTTGTTGCCATCATGCCAACTCTAGCCTGAGGCCAGTCTGTTTGTGCCATCATGCCAACTCTAGCCTGAGGGCCAGTCTGTTTGTGCCATCATGCCAACTCTAGCCTGAGGGCCAGTCTGTTTGTGCCATCATGCCAACTCTAGCCTGAGGGCCAGTCTGTTTGTGCCATCATGCCAACTCTAGCCTGAGGGCCAGTCTGTTTGTGCCATCATGCCAACTCTAGCCTGAGGGCCAGTCTGTTTGTGCCATCATGCCAACTCTAGCCTGAGGGCCAGTCTGTTTGTGCCATCATGCCAACTCTAGCCTGAGGGCCAGTCTGTTTGTGCCATCATGCCAACTCTAGCCTGAGGGCCAGTCTGTTTGTGCCATCATGCCAACTCTAGCCTGAGGGCCAGTCTGTTTGTGCCATCATGCCAACTCTAGCCTGAGGGCCAGTCTGTTTGTGCCATCATGCCAACTCTAGCCTGAGGGCCAGTCTGTTTGTGCCATCATGCCAACTCTAGCCTGAGGGCCAGTCTGTTTGTGCCATCATGCCAACTCTAGCCTGAGGGCCAGTCTGTTTGTGCCATCATGCCAACTCTAGCCTGAGGGCCAGTCTGTTTGTGCCATCATGCCAACTCTAGCCTGAGGGCCAGTCTGTTTGTGCCATCATGCCAACTCTAGCCTGAGGGCCAGTCTGTTTGTGCCATCATGCCAACTCTAGCCTGAGGGCCAGTCTGTTTGTGCCATCATGCCAACTCTAGCCTGAGGGCCAGTCTGTTTGTGCCATCATGCCAACTCTAGCCTGAGGGCCAGTCTGTTTGTGCCATCATGCCAACTCTAGCCTGAGGGCCAGTCTGTTTGTGCCATCATGCCAACTCTAGCCTGAGGGCCAGTCTGTTTGTGCCATCATGCCAACTCTAGCCTGAGGGCCAGTCTGTTTGTGCCATCATGCCAACTCTAGCCTGAGGGCCAGTCTGTTTGTGCCATCATGCCAACTCTAGCCTGAGGGCCAGTCTGTTTGTGCCATCATGCCAACTCTAGCCTGAGGGCCAGTCTGTTTGTGCCATCATGCCAACTCTAGCCTGAGGGCCAGTCTGTTTGTGCCATCATGCCAACTCTAGCCTGAGGGCCAGTCTGTTTGTGCCATCATGCCAACTCTAGCCTGAGGGCCAGTCTGTTTGTGCCATCATGCCAACTCTAGCCTGAGGGCCAGTCTGTTTGTGCCATCATGCCAACTCCTTCTCACTTATTGTCATGTTTGGCTTGACAGGGACAGCAATATAGTTGGCAAAAGCCCAAACAGACTGGTACCAGGTTAATGTCTATCTAGCCCAAACAGACTGGTACCAGGTTAATGTCTATCTAGCCCAAACAGACTGGTACCAGGTTAATGTCTATCTAGCCCAAACAGACTGGTACCAGGCTAATGTCTATCTAGCACCAAACAGACTGGTACCAGGTTAATGTCTATCTAGCCCAAACAGACTGGTACCAGGTTAATGTCTATCTAGCCCAAACAGACTGGTACCAGGTTAATGTCTATCTAGCCCAAACAGACTGGTACCAGGTTAATGTCTATCTAGCCCAAACAGACTGGTACCAGGTTAATGTCTATCTAGCCCAAACAGACTGGTACCAGGTTAATGTCTATCTAGCCCAAACAGACTGGTACCAGGTTAATGTCTATCTAGCCCAAACAGACTGGTACCAGGTTAATGTCTATCTAGCCCAAACAGACTGGTACCAGGTTAATGTCTATCTAGTCCAAACAGACTGGTACCAGGTTAATGTCTATCTAGCCCAAACAGACTGGTACCAGGTTAATGTCTATCTAGCCCAAACAGACTGGTACCAGGTTAATGTCTATCTAGTCCAAACAGACTGGTACCAGGTTAATGTCTATCTAGCCCAAACAGACTGGTACCAGGTTAATGTCTATCTAGCCCAAACAGACTGGTACCAGGTTAATGTCTATCTAGCCCAAACAGACTGGGTACCAGGTTAATGTCTATCTAGCCCAAACAGACTGGTACCAGGCTAATGTCTATCTAGCCCAAACAGACTGGTACCAGGTTAATGTCTATCTAGCCCAAACAGACTGGTACCAGGCTAATGTCTATCTAGCCCAAACAGACTGGTACCAGGTTAATGTCTATCTAGCCCAAACAGACTGGTACCAGGTTAATGTCTATCTAGCCCAAACAGACTGGTACCAGGTTAATGTCTATCTAGCCCCAAACAGACTGGGACCAGGTTAATGTCTATCTAGCCAAACAGACTGGTACCAGGTTAATGTCTATCTAGCCCAAACAGACTGGTACCAGGTTAATGTCTATCTAGCCCAAACAGACTGGTACCAGGTTAATGTCTATCTAGCCCAAACAGACTGGTACCAGGTTAAATGTCTATCTAGCCCAAACAGACTGGTACCAGGCTTGTCTATCTAGTCCAAAACAGACTGGTACCAGGTTAATGTCTATCTAGCCCAAACAGACTGGTACCAGGTTAATGTCTAATCTAGCCCAAACAGACTGGTACCAGGTTATGTCTATCTAGCCCAAACAGACTGGTACCAGGGTTAATGTCTATCTAGTCCAAACAGACTGGTACCAGGTTAATGTCTATCTAGCCCAAACAGACTGGTACCAGGTTAATGTCTATCTAGCCCAAACAGACTGGTACCAGGTTAATGTCTATCTAGCCCAAACAGACTGGTACCAGGTTAATGTCTATCTAGCCCAAACAGACTGGTACCAGGTTAATGTCTATCTAGCCCAAACAGACTGGTACCAGGTTAATGTCTATCTAGCCCAAACAGACTGGTACCAGGTTAATGTCTATCTAGCCCAAACAGACTGGTACCAGGTTAATGTCTATCTAGCCCAAACAGACTGGTACCAGGTTAATGTCTATCTAGCCCAAACAGACTGGTACCAGGTTATGTCTATCTAGCCCAAACAGACTGGTACCAGGTTAATGTCTATCTAGCCCAAACAGACTGGTACCAGGTTAATGTCTATCTAGCCCAAACAGACTGGTACCAGGTTAATGTCTATCTAGCCCAAACAGACTGGTACCAGGTTAATGTCTATCTAGCCCAAACAGACTGGTACCAGGTTAATGTCTATCTAGCCCAAACCAGACTGGTACCAGGTTAATGTCTATCTAGCCCAAACAGACTGGTACCAGGTTAATGTCTATCTAGCCCAAACAGACTGGTACCAGGTTAATGTCTATCTAGCCCAAACAGACTGGTACCAGGTTAATGTCTATCTAGCCCAAACAGACTGGTACCAGGTTAATGTCTATCTAGCCCAAACAGACTGGTACCAGGTTAATGTCTATCTAGCCCAAACAGACTGGTACCAGGTTAATGTCTATCTAGCCCAAACAGACTGGTACCAGGTTAATGTCTATCTAGCCCAAACAGACTGGTACCAGGTTAATGTCTATCTAGCCCAAACAGACTGGTACCAGGTTAATGTCTATCTAGCCCAAACAGACTGGTACCAGGTTAATGTCTATCTAGCCCCAAACAGACTGGTACCAGGTTAATGTCTTCTAGCCCAACAAACTGGTACCAGGTTAATGTCTATCTAGCCCAAACAGACTGGTACCAGGTTAATGTCTATCTAGCCAAACAGACTGGTACCAGTTAATGTCTATCTAGCCAAACAGACTGGTACCAGGTTAATGTCTATCTAGCCCAAACAGACTGGTACCAGGTTAATGTCTATCTAGCCCAAACAGACTGGTACCAGGTTAATGTCTATCTAGCCCAAACAGACTGGTACCAGGTTAATGTCTATCTAGCCCAAAACAGACTGGTACCAGGTTAATGTCTATCTAGCCCAAACAGACTGGTACCAGGTTAATGTCTATCTAGCCCAAACAGACTGGTACCAGGTTAATGTCTATCTAGCCCAAACAGACTGGTACCAGGTTAATGTCTATCTAGCCCAAACAGACTGGTACCAGGTTAATGTCTATCTAGCCCAAACAGACTGGTACCAGGTTAATGTCTATCTAGCCCAAACAGACTGGTACCAGGTTAATGTCTATCTAGCCCAAACAGACTGGTACCAGGTTAATGTCTATCTAGCCCAAACAGACTGGTACCAGGTTAATGTCTATCTAGCCCAAACAGACTGGTACCAGGTTAATGTCTATCTAGCCCAAACAGACTGGTACCAGGTTAATGTCTATCTAGCCCAAACAGACTGGTACCAGGTTAATGTCTATCTAGCCCAAACAGACTGGTACCAGGTTAATGTCTATCTAGCCCAAACAGACTGGTACCAGGTTAATGTCTATCTAGCCCAAACAGACTGGTACCAGGTTAATGTCTATCTAGCCCAAACAGACTGGTACCAGGTTAATGTCTATCTAGCCCAAACAGACTGGTACCAGGTTAATGTCTATCTAGCCCAAACAGACTGGGTACCAGGTTAATGTCTATCTAGCCCAACGGGTAATTACCAACAGACTGGTACCAGGTTAATGTCTATCTAGCCCAAACAGACTGGTACCAGGCTGTCTATCTAGTCCAAACAGACTGGTACCAGGTTAATGTCTATCTAGCCCAAACAGACTGGTACCAGGTTAATGTCTATCTAGCCCAAACAGACTGGTACCAGGCTGTCTATCTAGTCCAAACAGACTGGTACCAGGTTAATGTCTATCTAGCCCAAACAGACTGGTACCAGGTTAATGTCTATCTAGCCCAAACAGACTGGTACCAGGTTAATGTCTATCTAGCCCAAACAGACTGGTACCAGGCTAATGTCTATCTAGCCCAAACAGACTGGTACCAGGTTAATGTCTATCTAGCCCAAACAGACTGGTACCAGGTTAATGTCTATCTAGCCCAAACAGACTGGTACCAGGTTAATGTCTATCTAGCCCAAACAGACTGGTACCAGGTTAATGTCTATCCTCTCTTTAGGGGTTTTGTGAAGGAGGCGGAGGATATCGGGGCGAGCCGGAGGATGAACAGCCTGACTCTGAACCGCCACACAGAGATCCTGGAGATCTTAGAGATCCCTCAGCTGATGGACACCTGCGTCCGGAACGGCTACTACGAGGAGGCTCTGGAACTGGCAGCCTACGTCAAGAGACTGGAGAAGAAGCACTCGTCCCTCCCTGTCATCCAGGTATTAATGCGCTAACTACCACTTTCATCTTACACAGCTAGGAGTTACAGATGGTACCACTTCCTGCTTACACAGCTAGGAGTTACAGATGGTACCACTTCCTGCTTACACAGCTAGGAGTTACAGATGGTACCACTTCCTGCTTCCACAGCTAGGAGTTACAGATGGTACCACTTCCTGCTTACACAGCTAGGAGTTACAGATGGTACCACTTCCTGCTTACACAGCTAGGAGTTACAGATGGTACCACTTCCTGCTTACACAGCTAGGAGTTACAGATGGTACCACTTCCTGCTTACACAGCTAGGAGTTACAGATGGTACCACTTCCTGCTTACACAGCTAGGAGTTACAGATGGTACCACTTCCTGCTTACACAGCTAGGAGTTACAGATGGTACCACTTCCTGCTTACACAGCTAGGAGTTACAGATGGTACCACTTCCTGCTTACACAGCTAGGAGTTACAGATGGTACCACTTACACAGCTAGGAGTTACAGATGGTACCACTTCCTGCTTCCACAGCTAGGAGTTACAGATGGTACCACTTCCTGCTTACACAGCTAGGAGTTACAGATGGTACCACTTCCTGCTTCCACAGCTAGGAGTTACAGATGGTACCACTTCCTGCTTACACAGCTAGGAGTTACAGATGGTACCACTTCCTGCTTACACAGCTAGGAGTTACAGTTGGTACCACTTCCTGTTTACACAGCTAGGAGTTACAGATGGTACCACTTCCTGCTTCCACAGCTAGGAGTTACAGATGGTACCACTTCCTGCTTCCACAGCTAGGAGTTACAGATGGTACCACTTCCTGCTTACACAGCTAGGAGTTACAGATGGTACCACTTCCTGCTTACACAGCTAGGAGTTACAGATGGTACCACTTCCATCATACACAGCTAGGAGTTACAGATGGTACCACTTCCTGCTTACACAGCTAGGAGTTACAGATGGTACCACTTCCTGCTTCCACAGCTAGGAGTTACAGATGGTACCACTTCCTGCTTACACAGCTAGGAGTTACAGATGGTACCACTTCCTGTTTACACAGCTAGGAGTTACAGATGGTACCACTTCCTGCTTACACAGCTAGGAGTTACAGATGGTACCACTTCCTGTTTACACAGCTAGGAGTTACAGATGGTACCACTTCCTGCTTACACAGCTAGGAGTTACAGATGGGAAGATACACAATCAGAATGTGGCATTTTGTTGGATAGTTATGGTACTAGAAATCCCTCTTACTATATTAAGCTTGTCTACACAGACGGTTCAGCGTGTGATTCTCTGACCACTACTGTAACATGGCCTGTGTGTTTTACATTTACATGTTAGTCATTTAGCAGACGCTCTTATCCAGAGCGACTTACATGAGCAATTAGGGTAAAGTGCCTTGCTCAAGGGCACATCGACAGATTTTTCACCTAGTCCGCTCTGGGATTAGAACCAGCAACCTTTCGGTTACTGGCACAACGCTCTTAACCACTAAGCTACCTGCCGCCCCGTCTTCCTCAGGGCATCGTCCACGAGGTGCGTCAGTCAGCTCAGCTCATGCTGAACCAGCTGTTGCAGCAGCTTCGCAGCAACTCCCAGCTTCCTGTGTGCCTGCGTGTGATTGGCTACCTGCGCAGGATGGACGTGTTCACGGAGGCGGAGCTGCGGGTCAAGTTCCTCCAGGCGCGGGGCAGCTGGCTCCATTCCGTCCTCTCCGCCGTGCCTGACGACGACCCTTACTTCCACATCACCAAGACCATCGAGGCCTGCCGCGTATGTAACCTGGGTTGCAGCTGTAGTTATCTAGCGGTGTAGTTGTTGAGCGAAGGACCAAGGAGACAGGACTGATGCTTCCCCCCCTTTATTCTCTGACAGGAATATTTCTGTGACATTTCTTACTCTGTTACAGGTACATCTGTTTGACATCATCACGCAGTACAGAGCCATCTTCTCTGACGAGGACCCCCTGCTGCTTCCCGGTGACAGACTGGTTTATTTCAATACGGCAACACAGCGGAGAAGGCTGAATTATTTGATACAATTTTCATAAATATGAAGATTTAAACACACACGAGAATTATCCAAAGACACATTCCAAATCTATAATACATGTTTTCTTGAAAAGACAGTCGTGCTGTGGGTATGGTACAGTACAGACGGGTCAATAGTCCAACTAAAGTGGCAGGTCATAGGTCACTGGATGGGCAGCCTTGTGATGTATGGTACTGTCTGTGTTGAAAGGTGGTCAGGGCCAGGTGGTGAACGAGGGGGCCATCTTCCACGGCTGGGTGGTGCAGCAGGTGTCTGACTTCCTGGAGACTCTGGACCGAGACCTCCAGAGGGGGGTGGGCGGCCGCCTGGACTCCCTGCTGGGACAGTGCATGTACTTCGGCCTGTCCTTCAGCCGCGTCGGGGCAGACTTCCGCGGCCAGCTGGCCCCAATGTTCCAACGTGTGGCGGCCGATACCTTCCGTAAAGCTGTAGAGGAAGCCATGGAGAAGTTCCAGGAGGACATGAACCTGTATACTCTGATCTCTCTCCCCTCCATGCTGGGTGGGGGCTCCATGCCAGGCACCCTCCAGCCCCCCAGTACCCAGCCAGGTACCCTCCAGCCTCCCATGGCTCTGCTGGATTTCCCCCCCCTGGCCTGCTTCCTCAACAACATCCTGACGGCCTTCAATGACCTCCGGCTCTGCTGCCCCCTCGGTCTGGCCCAGCAGGTGACCAAGTACCTGGAGGACGCCCTGGTAAAGGTATGGAACCAACGCCTGTCTGTCTCAGCTAATGGTACGCTACACTGTCTGCTGCTAAAGTTACCATCATTTATTTTCTTTATTTCATTTTTTAAATTTATTTTTTTACCTTTATTTAACCAGGTAAGCCAGTTGAGAACAAGTTCTCATTTACAACTGCGACCTGGCCAAGATAAAGCAAAGCATTGACATGTCTAGGCTGTCCCATGCTCTCTCTAGACATGGTAGATGCTCTCTCTAGACATGGTAGATGCTCTCTCTAGACATGGTAGATGGTATGCTCTCTCTAGACATGGTAGATGGTATGCTCTCTAGACATGGTAGATGTTATGCTCTCTCTAGACATGGTAGATGCTCTCTCTAGACATGGTAGATGCTCTCTCTAGACATGGTAGATGGTATGCTCTCTAGACATGGTAGATGTTATGCTCTCTCTAGACATGGTAGATGCTCTCTCTAGACATGGTAAGATGCTCTCTCTAGAACATGGTAGATGGTATGCTCTCTAGACATGGTAAGTGTTATGCTCTCTCTAGACATGGTAGATGCTCTCTCTAGACATGGTAGATGCTCTCTCTAGACATGGTAGATGGTATGCTCTCTCTAGACATGGTAGATGCTCTCTCTAGACATGGTAGATGCTCTCTCTAGACATGGTAGATGCTCTCTCTAGACATGGTAGATGGTATGCTGTCTCTAGACATGGTAGATGTTATGCTCTCTCTAGACATGGTAGATGCTCTCTCTAGACATGGTAGATGTTATGCTCTCTAGACATGGTAGATGGTATGCTCTCTCTAGACATGGTAGATGCTCTCTCTAGACATGGTAGATGTTATGCTCTCTCTAGACATGGTAGATGTTGCGCTCTCTAGACCATGGTAGATGTTATGCTCTCTCTAGACATGGTAGATCTCTCTCTAGACATGGTAGATGTTTGCTCTCTCTAGACATGGTAGATGTTATGCTCTCTCTAGACATGGTAGATGTTATGCTCTCTAGACATGGTAGATGGTATGCTCTCTCTAGACATGGTATGTTATGCTCTCTCTAGACATGGTAGATGCTCTCTCTAGACATGGTAGATGGTATGCTCTCTCTAGACATGGTAGATGGTATGCTCTCTCTAGACATGGTAGATGCTCTCTCTAGACATGGTAGATGTTATGCTCTCTCTAGACATGGTAGATGGTATGCTCTCTCTAGACATGGTAGATGCTCTCTCTAGACATGGTAGATGCTCTCTCTAGACATGGTAGATGGTATGCTCTCTCTAGACATGGTAGATGCTCTCTCTAGACATGGTAGATGTTATGCTCTCTCTAGACATGGTAGATGTTGCGCTCTATCGACATGGTAGATGTTATGCTCTCTCTAGACATGGTAGATGCTCTCTCTAGACATGGTAGATGTTATGCTCTCTCTAGACATGGTAGATGTTATGCTCTCTCTAGACATGGTAGATGTTATGCTCTCTCTAGACATGGTAGATGTTATGCTCTCTAGACATGGTAGATGCTCTCTCTAGACATGGTAGATGTTATGCTCTCTCTAGACATGGTAGATGTTATGCTCTCTCTAGACATGGTAGATGCTCTCTCTAGACATGGTAGATGGTATGCTCTCTCTAGACATGGTAGATGGTATGCTCTCTCTAGACATGGTAGATGCTCTCTCTAGACATGGTAGATGTTATGCTCTCTCTAGACATGGTAGATGGTATGCTCTCTCTAGACATGGTAGATGGTATGCTCTCTCTAGACATGGTAGATGCTCTCTCTAGACATGGTAGATGCTCTCTCTAGACATGGTAGATGTTATGCTCTCTCTAGACATGGTAGATGGTATGCTCTCTCTAGACATGGTAGATGCTCTCTCTAGACATGGTAGATGTTATGCTCTCTCTAGACATGGTAGATGGTATGCTCTCTCTAGACATGGTAGATGGTATGCTCTCTCTAGACATGGTAGATGTTATGCTCTCTCTAGACATGGTAGATGGTATGCTCTCTCTAGACATGGTAGATGCTCTCTCTAGACATGGTAGATGTTATGCTCTCTCTAGACATGGTAGAGATTCTCTCTAGACATGGTAGATGTTATGCTCTCTAGACATGGTAGATGTTCCCTCTAGACTGTAGATGTTATGCTCTCTCTAGACATGGTAGATGCTCTCTCTAGACATGGTAGATGTATGCTCTCTTAGACATGGTAGATGTTATGCTCTCTCTAGACATGGTAGATGTTGCGCTCTCTAGACATGGTAGATGTTATGCTCTCTCTAGACATGGTAGATGTTATGCTCTCTAGACATGGTAGATGTATGCTCTCTCTAGACATGGTAGATGTTATGCTCTCTCTAGACATGGTAGATGCTCTCTCTAGACATGGTAGATGTATGCTCTCTAGACATGGTAGATGTTATGCTCTCTAGACATGGTAGATGTTATGCTCTCTCTAGACATGGTAGATGTTATGCTCTCTCTAGACATGGTAGATGTTATGCTCTCTCTAGACATGGTAGATGGTATGCTCTCTCTAGACATGGTAGATGTTATGCTCTCTCTAGACATGGTAGATGCTCTCTCTAGACATGGTAGATGTTATGCTCTCTCAGACATGGTAGATGGTTATGCTCTCTCTAGACATGGTAGATGTTATGCTCTCTCTAGACATGGTAGATGGTATGCTCTCTAGACATGGTAGATGTTATGCTCTCTAGACATGGTAGATGATGCTCTCTCTAGACATGGTAGATGTTATGCCTCTCTAGACATGGTAGATGTATGCTCTCTCTAGACATGGTAGATGTATGCTCTCTCTAGACATGGTAGATGCTCTCTCTAGACATGGTAGATGGTATGCTCTCTCTAGACATGGTAGATGTTATGCTCTCTCTAGACATGGTAGATGCTCTCTCTAGACATGGTAGATGCTCTCTCTAGACATGGTAGATGTTATGCTCTCTCTAGACATGGTAGATGCTCTCTCTAGACATGGTAGATGCTCTCTCTAGACATGGTAGATGTATGCTCTCTCTAGACATGGTAGATGTTATGCTCTCTCTAGACATGGTAGATGTTATGCCCTCTCTCTACGACATGGTAGATGGTATGCCTCTCTAGACATGGTAGATGGTATGCTCTCTCTAGACAGGGGTAGATGTTATGCTTCTCTAGACATGGTAGATGTTTATGCTCTCTCTAGACATGGTAGATGGTATGCTCTCTCTAGACATGGTAAGATGGTATGCTCTCTCTAGACATGGTAGATGTTATGCTCTCTCTATACATGGTCAGGATGCTCTTCTCTAGACCATGGTAGATGCTCTCTCTAGACATGGTAGATGGCTCTCCTCTCTAGGACATGGGGAGATGATTCTCTCTCTAGACATGGTAGATGGTATGCTCTCTCGTAGACATGGTAGATGCTGTCCTCTAGACATGGAGATGCTCTCTCTAGCCATGGTAGATGCTCTCTCATAGGACATGGGTTAGATGGTATGCTCGCTAGACATGGTAGATTGGTATGCTCTCTAGGACATGGTAGATGGTATGCTCTCCTAGACATGGTAAAGATTGCTTTCTCTAAGACATGGTAGCTGTTAATTGCTCTCTCATAGACATGGTAGATGCTCTCTCTATACATGGTAGATGCTCTTCTAGACATGGTAGATATGGTAATGCTCTCTAGACATGGTAGATGTTATGCTCTCTCTAGACATGGTAGATGCTGTCTCTAGACATGGTAGATGCTCTCTCTAGACATGGTAGATGGTATGCTCTCTAGACATGGTAGATGGTATGCTCTCTAGACATGGTAGATGGTATGCTCTCTCTAGACATGGTAGATGCTGTCTCTAGACATGGTAGATGTTATGCTCTCTCTAGACATGGTAGATGCTCTCTCTAGACATGGTAGATGGTATGCTCTCTCTAGACATGGTAGATGCTCTCTCTAGACATGGTAGATGCTCTCTCTAGACATGGTAGATGGTATGTTTATACTCAGATCTAGGATAATCTTACTTTCCCCAAATCCTAATCTTAAATTCACCCAAGATCAGTCTTTGGGACATGTTAATCTAGTACAGTTTAAATGTAATGTATTCATGGTTTATGATACAGTATGTATGTGATGAACACAGATATCTGATGTTTCCTGCAAGCCACTGTGTCTCTGGCCATGGTAGAAGTTACCCTGATAGGATCAGTTCACCCTCCCTCAAACTCAACAACAAACTCTAGTTGAAATGTTAGGTTGTATCTCATGATTTCCACCGTCTCTCCTCCCCAGGTCACCAAGTTGATCGTGGCGTTCCACAGGGCTGAGGAGACGGCGTTCAGCAGCCGAGAAAAGGAGCTGTTTGTCCAATTCTGCTGTTCCTTCGCCGAGGACATGGTGCCTTTCCTCAACCGCTGTCTGCAGGTCCTGTTCCCCCCAGCACAGCTCTCTGTCATACTGGGTGAATACTCGGGCACGCCTCTTTATTTCAACAGGTTATTTGTACATCAGTTGGCATTTACATGATCTGCCACCGATGCTAAAGACTAGAATATGACAGATATGCTGATGTGAAAACATCCCCAGTAACAACCTCTATAATAATGTATGTGAAACATGGTTTTCTTCTCCAGGTGTCCCTCCAACTCAAGTCCACAAGTACAGCAGTCTGGGTTGTATTGATGTGAGTGCAGTACTGGAGCCTCTGGGGTTTGTTCTTCCCAAGAGGGAGACGGTGACTCCGGTGGTAGAAGAAGACCTCAGTGTTGAGCTGGAGGGTCTCACCGCAGCTGATCCTGAACCAACACTTCCCGTTGACGACCTGGGACTTCCTGATCCTGAACCAATAGCAGGCCCGGAACCTACAGAGGAGGATCCCATGGTCTCGTCCACCATATCTACTGAGTTTGTGTCCGAGACAGGTCTGACCTCTGACCCTGAACTGGAAGCCATTTTGAACGACCCTAACCCTGTACTGGACGACCCAAAGCCTGAGAGACCAAGGGCTGACAGCCACCGTGAAGTACAGGAAGACCCTGAGTTGGAGGCCATACTGAATCCCCCAAAGCCTGTACTGACCGCCCCAGAACCTAACCCAGAGGTAAACCCAGAGGGACCAGGGGCAGACAGTGAGCCATCAGAGACTGAGAAAGTAACAGACTGTTAACCCTCAGAGGAGTGATGGCAAGGTAACAGACTGTTAACCCTCAGAGGAGTGATGGCAGGTAACAGACTGTTAACCCTCAGGAGTGATGGCAAGGTAACAGACTGTTAACCCTCAGAGGAGTGATGGCAGGTAACAGACTGTTAACCCTCAGGAGTGATGGCAAGGTAACAGACTGTTAACCCTCAGAGGAGTGATGGCAAGGTAACAGACTGTTAACCCTCAGAGGAGTGATGGCAAGGTAACAGACTGTTAACCCTCAGAGGAGTGATGGCAAGGTAACAGACTGTTAACCCTCAGAGGAGTGATGGCAGGTAACAGACTGTTAACCCTCAGGAGTGATGGCAAGGTAACAGACTGTTACCCCTCAGGAGTGATGGCAGGTAACAGACTAACAATAGCCTTGCATTGATGGTTTTAATCTTGTAGTTACTGTGTATTTAACAATGACCCTTTCAGGAATGATTCCAATGCTTTAGCTTTTATTTACTGTCATCTAATCTGGTTATGACTGGTTGGAGAATGTGGTAATACTGGGTTGAACTATTTAATAAATGTATATATTAAAATAGTTTATTTCTACTGTACATGTCAAATGGATGATGTTGATTATTAAAATATATCCAAAACAGAAGTTGCACCCTTGAACTCTGTTTAAAGTTTTAATTAAGGGGTATCAAAATGTCAGAGCAGGTTACATGCACAAGCCTTGAAAGTGCAAATACCTTTTATGGCTTTTACAAACTTGGTAGTTGAGTTACTGTATAACATTTCGTTCGAACATGGAATTAATAAAGTTTTCCTTAAAAAAAAGATTGTGTCATTCATCCAAAACTGCAGTATTAAATTCAGCTATCTTCACAGTTCAGTAGCTGGAATTCTCTTTATTGGAACTTGGTGTGTAGAAACAGACTCAACATTTCTTCTTGCGGGCAGCGTTGGGATTTGCCCGTCTCCGACCCCCTCCGCCTGCTCCGTCTGTGATGTGCAGGTTGGCAGAGCGGCTGTATATGTCGTGATCAGAGAAAGGGGAACTGCCCCCGGCCAGGTAGTCCGGGTTAAAGACGTCTGTCTTCTGGCGAGCCTTACGGGACACACGCTGCTGGGGGAAACGCTGGTCCTCCACCAGGTGGGGGTTGCTGGCGTGTTTGCCCCCTTGTGGCAGGGGCAGGGAGTACTACGGGGAACAGAGTGTACATTAGCTCCTCCCTCTAGTTACTCCTAGCTCCTCCCTCCAGTCAGTCCGTCACTCCCCTCCAGTCAGCTCCTCTCCCTCCCAGTCAGCTCCTCCTCCCCCAGTCAGCTCCTCCCTCCAGTCAGCTCCTCCCCCTATACTCTGCTCCTCCTCAGTCAGCTCCTCCCTCTATCCTCCCTCCAGTCAGCTCTTCATCCTCTCCTCATCCATACACCTCCCAGTCAGCTCCTCCTCTCCTCACTCCTCCCTCCCTTCCAGTCAGCTCCTCCCTCCAGTCAGCTCCTCCCTCCAGTCAGCTCCTCCCTCCAGTCAGCTCCTCCCTCCAGTCAGCTCCTCCCTCTAGTACTCCCTCCAGTCAGCTCCTCCCTCCAGTCAGCTCCTCCCTCCAGTCAGCTCCTCCCTCTAATACTCCCTCCAGTCAGCTCCTCCCTCTAGTACTCCCTCCAGTCAGCTCCTCCCTCCAGTCAGCTCCTCCTCCAGTCAGCTCCTCCCTCTAATACTACCTCCAGTCAGCTCCTCCCTCCAGTCAGCTCCTCCTCCTCTCACATCAGCTCTCCTCCAGTCAGCTCCTCCCTCTAATACTACCTCCAGTCAGCTCCTCCCTCCAGTCAGCTCCTCCCTCCAGTCAGCTCCTCCCTCCAGTCAGCTCCTCCCTCCAGTCAGCTCCTCCCTCCAGTCAGCTCCTCCCTCCAGTCAGCTCCTCCCTCCAGTCAGCTCCTCCCTCCAGTCAGCTCCTCCCTCTAATACTACAGTCAGTCAGCTCCTCCCTCCAGTCAGCTCCTCCCTCTAATACTACCTCCTCCCTCCAGTCAGCTCCTCCCTCCAGTCAGCTCCTCCCTCTAGTACTACGTCCAGTCAACAACAACGTGTAGAAGCTAGTTTGCAACATGTGTAGAAGCTGCACATTTGATACAACAAATGTCATTATCTGAAGAAATCCTGAATCATGATGTAAGAGGAGTTTCCTCCCCCAGTTGAAGGTTTGGTTGTAGTGTGGGTTTCACCCCCTTACCCTCTTCCCCTTGGGGTTAAGCACTTTGGGGTTCTTTGAGAAATGCATCTGCATGCTTCCGTCCTCACTGACCGTCACTGCGATCTTCTTCAGTGTTTTGTTGCCACAGTGTGTACAGAAAACCTTATTCATGTTCGTTGTGGTCCTAAAACAAATATAACATGTGATACTATCAGTTTAATTAAGCTTCTTGAGACAAAGGTTGAGTAAACATTTCAAGTTGTCTAATTACAAAACCTGTACTTGTGACAATGGGTCGTTTTTGGTGGGCCTTTTACTGATAAGAGGTACTCACTTGAAACAGGCGTGGCATCGCAGGATGTAATTCCTGGCCTGCTTGATGAGCATCCCATTCACAGAGAGGACATGGAGTCCAATCTGAATCAGGACGTTCTGTTGAACAATCAAACAGTTGACCAACTGCATGATTCTGAATGTATATCTAAATGGGTCTTATCAACAGAATTTAATCAACTTTAAATAACAGCATCAACTATTACCACTCAGGGAGAGTTACATAGATAAGATGACAGTTTGCTGAACTATTCGAGTTAATTTAACCAGAATCTTCATGTTACGTCCCACATGGCACCCCAATTCCCTATATAGTGCACTACTTTTGCACTACCTAAGGGCCCTGGTTAAAATTAGTGCACTATATAGGGGATAGGGTGCCATTTGGGCCCCAGACAGTACCTGCATAGCGAAGTCAGTGGTGAGACATCCCACTTTAACGTCCGCAGGCGACGCCCAGATCCCCGTCTCCATCTGGACCTGTTTAATGTTGCTAGGAGTGATCCAACCACCGCCATCTTCCTCCTCCTCCTCCTCCTCATCTTCCTCTTCCTCCTCCGACCCACTGCCGTGCTCCTCTGAATGACTCTCTGAGTGTTTGTGTTCCTCTGACCCGGTCCCAGTCCCAGGTTCTGTGTGGACGGTGTCTGCTGCTCCACTGCTGTTTGATACTGAGAGGTCCTCAATGTTCTGTACATAAACAACAAGGACTACATCAATTCATCAGCACTGACATCGACAATGATTCAGAGGGAGGGGGAGGGGAGGGGAGGGTAGGGGAGGGGAGGGGGGGGGGGGGGAGAGGGGGGGGGGGAGGGGGAGAGAGGGGGGGGGGGTGTTCTTTGAATCCCTCTTTGACGGGGGTTCTTGTGAATCCTCTTTTGTTCAATCTGTCCAATGTATGAATGTTTCCATCACTTGGTTCGATCACAACAACTGCAGTAGGACATGAACCATGATGACATGTTGCTCAGAGGATACTATGTGGCTAAGGGTCAGAGCAGAGGTAGTCCGTGTTGCACTCCCCACTAGCTCCAGCAGGTCAGAGGTCACCACTACTGCAGCAGGAATGAACCTGATGACATGTTGCTAGAGGATACTATGTGGCTAAGGGTCAGAGCAGAGGTAGTCCGTGTTGCACTCCCCACTAGCTCCAGCAGGTCAGAGGTCACCACTACTGCAGCAGGACATGAACCATGATGACATGTTGCTCAGAGGATACTATGTGGCTGAGGGTCAGAGCAGAGGTAGTCCGTGTTGCACTCCCCACTAGCTCCAGCAGGTCAGAGGTCACCATCTCTTCCTTCAAAGACTCAATCATGGACACTCTTACTGACAGTTGTGGCTGCTTCGCGTGACGTATTGTTGTCTCTACCTTCTTGCCCTTTGTGCGTTGTCTGGCCCAATAATGTTTGTACCATGATTGTGCTGCTCCATGTTGTGCTGCTACCATGTTGTTGTCATGCTGAGTTGCTTAGGTCTCTCTTTATGTAGTGTGTGGTCTTCTTATGTGTGTGTGTCTCTCTTTATGTAGTGTTGTGTGTCTCTCTTAGTAGTTGTGGTCTCTCTTTATGTAGTGTTGTGGCGTCTCTCTTTATGTAGTGTTGTGGTGTCTCTCTTTATGTAGTGTGTTGTTGGTGTCTCTCTTTATGTAGTGTTGTGGCGTCTCTCTTTATGTAGTGTTGTGGGTCTCTCTTTATGTAGTGTTGTGGCGTCTCTCTTTATGTAGTGTGGGTCTTCTTAGTAGTGTTGTGGCGTCTCTCTTTATGTAGTGTTGTGGTGTCTCTTTATGTAGTGTTGTGGGTCTCTCTTTATGTAGTGTTGTGGGTCTCTCTTTATGTAGTGTTGTGGGTCTCTTTAGTAGTTGTGGCGTCTCTCTCTTTATGTAGTGTTGTGGCGTCTCTCTTTATGTAGTGTTGTGGCGTCTCTCTTTATGTAGTGTTGTGGTGTCTCTCTTTATGTAGTGTTGTGGTGTCTCTCTTTATGTAGTGTTGTGGTGTCTCTCTTTATGTAGTGTTGTGGCGTCTTCTCTTTATGTAGTGTTGTGGGTCTCTCTATGTTTGTGGGCTCTCTTTATGTAGTGTTGTGGTGTCTCTCTTTATGTAGTGTTGTGGCGTCTCTCTTTATGTAGTTTTTGTGTTGTGGTGTCTCTCTTTATGTAGTGTTGTGGTCTCTCTTTATGTAGTGTTGTGGTGTCCTCTTAGTTGTGATGTGTTTTGGTTCTAGTATGTTTGTCTCTCAGTAGGGGGGCCCTTATGTGGTGGCTCTCTATGTATTTGGTTCTTCTTATGTAGTGTTGTGGCTTCTTTATTAGTTGGTTCTTATAGTTTGGGTCCTTATGTAGTATGGAGTGTCTCTCTTTATGTAGTGTTGTGGTGTCTCTTGTTGTGATGTGTGTTTGGTTCTATATATATATATATATATATAATCCCAGCCCCGTCCCCGCAGGAGGCCTTTTGGTAGGCCGTCATTGTAAATAAGAATTAGTTCTTAACTGACTTGCCTAGTTAAATAAAGGTTAAATAAAATAAAAATTAAAAGTATGTGTTCTACTCACCAATAGTTCCAGCAGGTCCACGTCGAAGCAGGGCAGAGGATTCCTCCAGAACTGGAAGCTGTTGTACTCTCCGATCTCTGGAGGGTTATAGCTGTGCTGCGTCTGTGCTGGTGCCGTCGGTCTGCCACTGAACAACCCATCAGCTGGCCTCTGGACCATGAGGGACAAATCTTACTATGACAGAAGTGGTTGATTTGTACTACGATCTTCCCATATGGTTCCCATTCACATGGTTATTCTAGATGTTCGCCTTTTAGGTTGTTTTATTTACTTAGTCTAACATCTCAACATGCATATGGATCAGTACTATGGATCAGTACTGTGGATCAGTACTGTGGATCAGTACTATGGATCAGTACTGTGGATCAGTACTATGGATCAGTACTATGGATCAGTACTGTGGATCAGTACTATGGATCAGTACTGTGGATCAGTACTATGGATCAGTACTGTGGATCAGTACTGTGGATCAGTACTGTGGATCAGTACTATGGATCAGTACTGTGGTTAACAATAGAGTTGATTTCATGTCATTCTTTGGACCGTACCTTTGAGGGAAAGTGGAACCCTGCCACGCCAACAGGAGCCTCTGGATGTCTCCTTGTACTGCATACCCGGACCTGACATCAGACTACATGTCAACGCTGTGGTGTGGATCCATTGAACACTTACATACTCAGGTTCTGTGCGATAACTAGCCCCTTTCACCTGGCCGTGTCCCAAATGGAATGGCACCCTATTCCCTATATAGTGCACTACTTTAGACCAGAGAATGGCACCCTATTCCCTATATAGTGCACTACTTTAGACCAGAGAATGGCACCCTATTCCCTATATAGTGCACTACTTTAGACCAGAGAATGGCACCCTATTCCCTATATAGTGCGCTACTTTAGACCAGAGAATGGCACCCTATTCCCTATATAGTGCACTACTTTAGACCAGAGAATGGCACCCTATTCCCTTTATAGTGCACAAAGGGAATAGGCTGCCATTTGGGGGTCGCATCTCATCGATCCCCGTCTTACCTTGACCTCAGGTTCTTTCTTCAGGTGGTCAGTCCCAACGTGTTCCCTCTCCAACTGGTAGGTCAGAGCCAACACCTTGAGGTCTGTGGCAGAGAGGCTGGGGTAGTCTCCGGTCTTCTTGGAGAACTCGGTCACTGAAAACAGACCGCAACATTCAGTACCATCATCATCACAATTCTGGAAATATGTTTAGCAACATCAACAGCTAAAGAAGTGATGTTGGAGAGGCAGAGTGTCTACAAAACAAATACCCAGTACAACAACAAATTAACAACCAAAACGGACCAAATGTGTCATTTTAAAAACCTTAGCTACCTAATCTGATGTACTCAGGGTTTGGTTCTCTGAAGTTGAGTTGATATGGTAGAACAGACAGGCTCCTCCGGGTTGGCTTGTCTCTAATTTCCTCGACTACATCCTTCAGGGTGTAGATATTCTTCCCGATTTCCTAGAATAAAAAAAAAATATATAGATATATAGCAATGTCAAAATCATAATATACGCAGGTACATGATATTCATGTGGCCATTTAAACTGGATGAACCACGTTAACTAGATAGCCAGACCTGACATCAACCACGCAGTTTGTGCAAAAAAATTATTTGCATGATCCTTGGGTGATGTAACTACTGAAGAACATCGCTACTGTTATGTGACGAAGTTTTAACCTCACCTGAAGAGGTGCTTTCTTCAAAAACGCTCCTGCATCTGCGACAACATGTTCCACCATGGTAGCAGCCATCTTGGATAGCTATGTCCACATCATCAACCAATCAGAAGACAGAAAGTAGTTATCGCGTTGTCCGTGATTTGAGACTCGGGGCATCGTTGAAGGTATTGTTGATGTTGTTGGGGCAGAGGAAGATGGCGGCTCGCTGGAGTAGTGAGAATGTCGTGGTGGAATTCCGAGATGCACAGGTACTTTAGTAAAACAGGCTTTAAATTAGAGTTGTGAGATGTAGCTAGCTAATGCACAATGTGTTGCCAAAGATATTTATAACTTTCCTCTTCTGTCTGTGGTGATGTCATACTGTCCCTAGTGAAAAAGTGGTAGTTATCTTTGAGTAGTGAGGGAGTAAGTTCCCTAAAAGTGTCACAGTTCAAAGATGTCCCACTCAGTTGCAGGACTGTTGGGAGTTTTGTTTCATCAGGTCAAATGCACTAGATCCCACATATCCAGTTTACAGACATTGATCCATGCACAAGTTCTCGCAGCAATACGTTGCATGAAAACAAATAAAAAACCAAACGTGCTGCACTGCTGACTCAGATGCAGCTGGCTAAATGGTCCCATCTTACTGGCCCTCTGCACGATGCTCACATGATCTTCACTGACTTGGAAACTAACCATAAATATTACTTCATAATAATACTTTTTGGTCACAGGTCCAGGAATGGCTGAAGAATTGCAAAATGTACCTGGAGCTAACGCTGCATATAGCAGTACTGGGTGATTTGAAAAGTCATAGTCAATCGATCAATAGTATAATAATACTTTTAGCAAAACTATTTATCTTTAATTTACAATCTGTAGAAACTATGAAAATAGAAAGCTTCAGAATTTTGTGAAACAGCACAGTTAAAAATATATGGCAAATAGAAATCAAACTGAATGGACATTTGTGGGCCTCTGTAGCTCAGCTGGTAGAGCACGGCGCTTGTAACGCCAGGGTAGTGGGTTCGATCCCCGGGACCACCCATACACAAACAAAAATGTATGCACGCATGACTGTAAGTCGCTTTGGATAGAAGCGTCTGCTAAATGGCTTATTATTATTATATATTATTATTACATCAGAAATTGAGGGTAGAGGAAGGGCAGGACTAAAAACAAATAAAATATAACTATTGTAAAAAAGATTATGTCCATAAAATGTATATAGTGTGTATAAGCTGGAAGTAGAAGCCTAAGTGTTGTTGTCCATTAGTTTACTCCAATTAGGGGAGGAGTGGTAGGGTTAGCGGAAAATAATAAAGCAAAATATATTTTTAAAAGATATGTATGTATGTGTGTGTATATATACAGTACCAGTCAAAAGTTTGGACACACCTACTCATTCCAGGGTTTTTCTTTATTTTTTACTATTTTCTACATTGTAGAATAATAGTGAAGACATCAAAACTATGAAATAACACATATGGAATCATGTTGTAACCAAAAAAGTGTTAAACAAATCAAAATATATTTTGTATTTGAGATTCTTCAAATAGCCACCGTTTGCCTTGATGACAGCTTTGCACACTCTTGGCATTCTCTCAACCAGCTTCACCTGGAATGCTTTTCCAACAGTCTTGAAGGAGTTCCCACATATGCTGAGCACTTGTTGGCTGCTTTTCCTTCACTCTGCCGTCCAATTCATCCCAAACCATCTCAATTGGGTTGAGGTCGGGGGATTGTGGAGGCCAGGTCATCTGATGCAGCACTCCATCACTCTCCTTCTTGGTAAAATAGCCCTTACACAGCCTGGAGGTGTGTTGGGTCATTGTCCTGTTGAAAATCAAATGATAGTCCCACTAAGCCCAAACCAGATGGGATGGCGAATCGCTGCAGAATGCTGTGGTAGCCATGCTGGTTAAGTGTGCTTTGAATTCGAAATAAATCACAAACAGTGTCACCAGCAAAGCACCCCCACACCATAACACCCCCTCCTCCATGCTTTACGGTGGGAAATACACATGCGGAGATCATCCGTTCACCCACACCGTGTCTCACAAAGCCACGGCGGTTGGAACCAAAAATCTCAAATTTGGACTCCAGACCAAAGGACACATTTCCACCGGTCTAATGTCCATTGCTCGTGTTTCTTGGCCTAAGCAAGTCTCTTCTTCTTATTGGTGTCCTTTAGTAGTGGTTTCGTTGCAGCAATTCGACCATGAAGGCCTGATTCACACAGTTTTCTCTGAACAGTTGATGTTGAGATGTGTCTGTTACTTGAACTCGGTGAAGCATTTATTTGGGCTGCAATTTCTGAGTCTGGTAACTCTAATGAACTGATCCTCTGCAACAGAGGTAACTCTGGGTCTTCCATTCCTGTGGCGGTCCTCATGAGAGCCAGTTTCATCATAGCGCTTGATGGTTTTTGTGACTGCACTTGAAGAAACTTTCAAAGTTCTTGAAATATTCTGTATTGACTGACCTTCATGTCTTAAAGTAATGATGGACTGTCGTTTCTCTTTGCTTATTTGAGCTGTTCTTGCCATACTATGGACTTGGTCTTTTACCAAATAGGGCTATCTTCTGTATACCCCCCCTACCTTGTCACAACACAAATGATTGGCTCAAAAGCATTAAGAAGGAAAGACATTCCACAAATTATCTAAGAAGGCACACCTGTTAATTGAAATGCATTCCAGGTGACTACCTCATGAAGCTGGTTGAGAGAATGCCAAGAGTGTGCAAAGCTGTCATCAAGGCAAAGGGTGGCTATTTGAAGAATCTCAAATATAAAATAGATTTTGATTTGTTTAACCACTTTTTTGGTTACTACATGATTCCGTATGTTTTATTTCATAGTTTTGATGTCTTCACTATTATTCTGCAATGTAGAAAATAGTAAAAATAAAGAAAAACCCTTGAATGAGTAGGTGTGTCCAAACCTTTGACTGGTACTGTATATTTAAAAAAAATATATATAAATATGGGGGATTGGAATTGATGCGAACAATTCCATTAATGGAAGCTACAATCTTTCTGCAATATTAAGCTGATCTACCCCCTAACAAATAATAATATGCTTGTTGGTTGTTATCTTTTCAGGCCACTGCTATGTCCGTGGACTGCCTGGGTGGACATGCTGTCCTGTCTGGGTGGGTACCAGTCCAGTTCTTTACCACAGGTTACAGCACCATCACCACACACTGACATTCCTTACCAGCTGAGGCTGTTGATTCACTGTAGCTCTGTCTCAGTCAACATCACTGTAGCTCCGCCTCAGTCAACATCACTGTAGCTCTGCCTCAGTCAACATCACTGTAGCTCTGCCTCAGTCAACATCACTGTAGCTCTGCCTCAGTCAACATCACTGTAGCTCTGCCTCAGTCAACATCACTGTAGCTCTGCCTCAGTCAACATCACTGTAGCTCTGCCTCAGTCAACATCACTGTAGCTCTGCCTCAGTCAACATCACTGTAGCTCTCGCTCAGTCAACATCACTGTAGCTCTGCCTCAGTCAACATCACTGTAGCTCTGCCTCAGTCAACATCACTGTAGCTCTCGCTCAGTCAACATCACTGTAGCTCCGCCTCAGTCAATATCACTGTAGCTCCGCCTCAGTCAACATCACTGTAGCTCCGCTTCAGTCAACATCACTGTAGCTCAGCCTCAGTCAACATCACTGTAGCTCTCGCTCAGTCAACATCACTGTAGCTCTCTCAGTCAACATCACTGTAGCTCCGCCTCAGTCAATATCACTGTAGCTCCGCCTCAGTCAACATCACTGTAGCTCCGCTTCAGTCAACATCACTGTAGCTCAGCCTCAGTCAACATCACTGTAGCTCTCGCTCAGTCAACATCACTGTAGCTCTCTCAGTCAACATCACTGTAGCTCCGCCTCAGTCAACATCACTGTAGCTCCGCCTCAGTCAACATCACTGTAGCTCTGCCTCAGTCAACATCACTGTAGCTCTGCCTCAGTCAACATCACTGTAGCTCCGCCTCAGTCAACATCACTGTAGCTCTGCCTCAGTCAACATCACTGTAGCTCTCTCTCAGTCAACATCACTGTAGCTCTCTCTCAGTCAACATCACTGTAGCTCTGCCTCAGTCAACATCACTGTAGCTCTCGCTCAGTCAACATCACTGTAGCTCTCTCTGTCAACATCACTGTTGCTCTCGCTCAGTCAACATCACTGTAGCTCTGCCTCAGTCAACATCACTGTAGCTCTGCCTCAGTCAACATCACTGTAGCTCTCGCTCAGTCAACATCACTGTAGCTCTCTCTCAGTCAACATCACTGTAGCTCTCGCTCAGTCAACATCACTGTAGCTCCGCCTCAGTCAACATCACTGTAGCTCCGTCTCAGTCAACATCACTGTAGCTCTCTCTCAGTCAACATCACTAGCTCTGCCTCAGTCAACATCACTGTAGATCTGCCTCAGTCAACATCACTGTAGCTCCATCTCAGTCAACATCACTGTAGCTCTCGCTCATTCAACATCACTGTAGCTCTGCCTCAGTCAACGTCACTGTAGCTCTCTCTCAGTCAACATCACTGTAGCTCTGCCTCAGTCAACATCACTGTAGCTCTCGCTCATTCAACATCACTGTAGCTCTGCCTCAGTCAACATCCCTGTAGCTCTCTCTCAGTCAACATCACTGTAGCTCTCTCTCAGTCAACATCACTGTAGCTCTGCCTCAGTCAACATCACTGTAGCTCTCGCTCAGTCAACATCACTGTAGCTCTGCCTCAGTCAACATCACTGTAGCTCTCGCTCAGTCAACATCACTGTAGCTCCGCCTCAGTCAATATCACTGTAGCTCCGCCTCAGTCAACATTACTGTAGCTCCGCCTCAGTCAACATCACTGTAGCTCTCGCTCAGTCAACATCACTGTAGCTCTCTCTCAGTCAACATCACTGTAGCTCTCGCTCAGTCAACATCACTGTAGCTCTGCCTCAGTCAACATCACTGTAGCTCTCATTCAGTCAACATCACTGTAGCTCTCATTCAGTCAACATCACTGTAGCTCTGCCTCAGTCAACATCACTGTAACTCTGCCTCAGTCAACATCACTGTAGCTCTGCCTCAGTCAACATCTATCAGGCCATAAGGCAACAGTGTCATGTCACGATGGTGGTCCTCTGTAGCTCAGCTGGTAGAGCACGGCGCTTGTAACGCCAGGGTAGTGGGTTCGATCCCCGCGACCACCCAAATGTATGCACGCATGACTGTAAGTCGCTTTGGATAAAAGCGTCTGCTAAATGGCATATTATTATTTATTATTACGATGTTAGTTGTGTATTTGTGGATGGATCAGATGTAAATGGATGGGAGGTGGTAATATCCTGTGTGTTGTATCTTAAATGGATGGGAGGTGGTAATATCCTGTGTGTTGTATCTTAAATGGATGGGAGGTGGTAATATCCTGTGTGTTGTATCTCCCCTCCTGTAGACGGAGGTTTCTGTATGTGGTGAACCTGGAGACTCCTTCTGAAGCGCCCAGGAAGATTGGTAGACCGAGCAAGTGGGACGTGGGGACTGTTCAGTGGAACCCTCACAAGGCGGAGTCCCACGTCTTCGCTGCCTCTGTGAGTTACTCTGTTAAAACGGCAACAATAACATTAACAATTCATCAAATTGCCTTAAATATACTTTTTTCTATCGTTTTACATGTACTTTTTATTTTTGAGTGATTTAGCAGATGCTCTAATCCAGAGAGTCATTTAGCAGACGCTCTTATCCAGAGAGTCATTTAGCAGACGCTCTTATCCAGAGAGTCATTTAGCAGACGCTCTTATCCAGAGAATCATTTAGCAGACACGCTTATCCAGAGAGTCATTTAGCAGACGCTCTTATCCAGAGAGTCATTTAGCAGACGCTCTTATCCAGAGTCATTTAGCAGACGCTCTTATCCAGAGAGTCATTTAGCAGACGCTCTTATCCAGTGAATCATTTAGCAGACGCTCTTATCCAGAGAGTCATTTAGCAGACGCTCTTATCCAGAGAGTCATTTAGCAGACGCTCTTATCCAGATAGTCATTTAGCAGACGCTCTTATCCAGTGAATCATTTAGCAGACGCTCTTATCCAGAGAGTCATTTAGCAGACGCTCTTATCCAGATAGTCATTTAGCAGACGCTCTTATCCAGAGAGTCATTTAGCAGACGCTCTTATCCAGAGAGTCATTTAGCAGACGCTCTTATCCAGAGAGTCATTTAGCAGACGCTCTTATCCAGAGAATCATTTAGCAGACACGCTTATCCAGAGAATCATTTAGCAGACACGCTTATCCAGAGAATCATTTAGCAGACACGCTTATCCAGAGAGTCATTTAGCAGACGCTCTTATCCAGAGAGTCATTTAGCAGACGCTCTTATCCAGAGAGTCATTTAGCAGACGCTCTTATCCAGAGAATCATTTAGCAGACACGCTTATCCAGAGAATCATTTAGCAGACACGCTTATCCAGAGAGTCATTTAGCAGACGCTCTTATCCAGAGAGTCATTTAGCAGACGCTCTTATCCAGAGTCATTTAGCAGACGCTCTTATCCAGAGAGTCATTTAGCAGACGCTCTTATCCAGTGAATCATTTAGCAGACGCTCTTATCCAGAGAGTCATTTAGCAGACGCTCTTATCCAGAGAGTCATTTAGCAGACACGCTTATCCAGAGAGTCATTTAGCAGACGCGCTTATCCAGATAATCATTTAGCAGACGCTCTTATCCAGATAGTCATTTAGCAGACGCTCTTATCCAGTGAATCATTTAGCAGACGCTCTTATCCAGAGAGTCATTTAGCAGACGCTCTTATCCAGATAGTCATTTAGCAGACGCTCTTATCCAGAGAGTCATTTAGCAGACGCTCTTATCCAGAGAGTCATTTAGCAGACGCTCTTATCCAGTGAATCATTTAGCAGACATCACTGCCCACGTGGTGGCACCATAACATCCAGTCTCTTCTCAGTGGGCCCTGTGGGTTTTGTGTTTGCAGAGTAACCAGCGGGTGGACCTGTACACGTGGCGTGATGGCTGTGGGGAAGTCCACGCGTCCCTGCAGGGACACACACGAGTCATCAGGTAACACAGAGGAGATGCTCTAGGCTGGGGCCCAACATGCACCCTATTCCCTATAGAGGGCCCTGGTCAAATGGAGTGCCCTATATAGGGGATAGGGTGCTATTTGGGCCCCAGCCTGATGGTTCTGGTTATGTACTGTAGCATCTATGGTGCCAGGTCACTGACTGTGTTCGTATCCTACAGTGACTTGGACTGGTCCTGGTTTGAACCAGAGTATCTGGTCACCAGCTCTGTAGACACCTACATCTGTATCTGGGACACCAAGGTAGGGTATAAAACTTTAAACCAGTACCAACGTATATGATAAAATGAAAATATAGCAGCGAGACAGCGCGCGAGAGCGCGAACAGATCGAGAGAATTAGGGAAGAGAGAAGAGAGAGAGAGAGAGCGAGAAGCGGTAAGAGCGAGGGCGATATATAGTAATATAGATTAGGAATATAGCAGATAGAGTGTAAGCGAGATCTATATATAGAAGAAGGAAGAATAAGAGGAGAGAGAGCAGAGAGAGAAGAGAGGTGAGAGAGAGATATATAAGAAGAGGAGCTATATAAAAGGAAGCTAGAAGAGAGAGATATATATCTAGATAGATATTAGATAGATTCTTAGTAATATGATAGCAGGGATTATATGAATATGATAGCTAGATATATATGATAGTATATAATATAGATCATCATATATGTAACTATATGTATATGTATATCTTGGTATATGTATATTGAAATTTATATGTATATATAATATAGTATCTAGTTATATATATGCTTTATAATATATATATATATATATATTAGTATAATGATGTAAGAGATATGATTATATATGTATATATAAGTATATAAAATGTATGTATAAGTATATAATGTATATATATATGTATATCTTATGATATATATATATATATAATGGTATCTCTATTATATATCTCTCTATCTTTATTATATGCCATCTCTATGTATCTATCTCATAGTATTAGATATATAGTATCTTATATATTTATATAGTAATATATTGTCTTGTTCTTTTATATATATATGTCTGATATACGGAGAGATTGTATATATACAGATAGATATCTCACTTATTCTCTACTCATCTATTCTATATCTCTCTCTTCTCTCTCTCTTCTTCTCTCATCATCTCTGTCTCTCTCTCTCTTCTACTCTCTCTCTCTCTCTCTCTCTCTCTCTCGTCTATCTCTTCTTCTCTCTCATCTTCTCTATCTCCTTGTCATTCCGCAAATCCATTACTTTCATCTGTTTTCACTTTCAATGTAGAATCATGTAGATGGGTTTATAGTTCAGGGCTAGGCTTAATATATGTCCGGGAAACAGCCTTTAATGTTAGGCATTAACAACACTGTAAATCTGTCTGGATGATCTCACAGAGACACAAGCAAACCAGCCTTTAGATGAAATTATTGATGTTAGGCCTTAACAACACTGTAAATCTGTCTGTATGATCTCACAGAGACACAAGGAAACCTACAGTGACATTGTCTGCAGTGGGTGAGTATGCACTTCAATCTTTAAATAATCAGAGTTTGGCCCTTTCCAGTTCATCTGTCTTGGATTACAAACTATATCTAAAGATGGTAGAGAGAAGATATGAGAGAGAGAGATAGAAAGAGAGAGATGAGATAATGAGAAGAAGAGAGAGAGAGAATAGTAGATAAGCGAGAGTATCGAGTAGAGTACGGAGATCATTAGATGTATGTATAGTCTCTATCTATATAGCCCTATATTCTATCTATATTGTAGTATAGTAATATATATATATCGTAATATATGTATATATACTCTCTATCTATATATATCTATATATTCTATATCTCTCTATCTATATCTCTATATATCTCTCAATCTCTCTCTCTCTCTCTCTGCTCTCTCTCGTCTCTCTCTCTCTCTCTCTCTGGTCTCTTCTGTTCTCTCGTTTCTCTCTGCTCCTCTCTCTCTCTTCTCTCTCTCTTCTCTGTCTCTCTCTCCCTGGTCTCTCTCTCTCTCTCTCTCTCTCTCTCTCTCTCTCCATCCCTCCTCCCTCTCCCCCTGTAGCGGGGGCATCCCAGGTGAAGTGGAACAAGCGTAATCAGTACCTTCTAGCCTCCAGTCATGATGGAGACGTTCGCATTTGGGACAAGAGGGTCAGTACCACACTATAACCTCTATAGGATCATCTGGGTCAGTACCACACTATAACCTTCTATAGGATCATCTGGGGTCTTAGTACCACACTATAACCTCTATAGTGATTCATCTGGGTCAGTACCACACTTATAACCTCTATCAGGAATCATCTGGGTCAGTACCACACTATAAACCTCTATAGGATCATTCTGCCGGTCAGTACCAACACTCTAAAAACCTCTATAGGGATCTGATAATCACTGGCGTCAGTACCACACTATAACCTCTATAGGATTCATCTGGGTCAGTACCACACTATAACCTCTATAGGATCATCTGGGTCAGTAACCACACTATAAACCTCTATAGGATCATCTGGGTCAGTACCACACTATAACCTCTATAGGATCATCTGGGTCAGTACCACACTATAACCTCTATAGGATCATCTGGGTCAGTACCACACTATAACCTCTATAGGATCATCTGGGTCAGTACCACACTATAACCTCTATAGGATCATCTGGGTCAGTACCACACTATAACCTCTATAGGATCATCTGGGTCAGTACCACACTGAAACCTCTATGGATCATCTGGGTCAGACCACTATAACCTCTGGAGGATCATCTGGGTCAGTACCACACTATAACCTCTATAGGATCATCTGGGTCAGTACCACACTATAACCTCTATAGGATCATCTGGGTCAGTACCACACTATAACCTCTATAGGGACCAGAGGGTCAGTACCACACTATAACCTCTATAGGATCAATGCTAAATGGTATACTGGTACACAATGACTAGTTGATCAGAGAGGAGTGGCAGAATGTTCAATGATCGTGGTTTTTGACACCTTAAGGAAAGATTTCATTTAAGATTGAAAATATTGAAGTGCCCTGTGTCTCTGTAACATGTTCAGTGAGTGTCTGTGTAACATGTTCAGTGAGTGTCTCTGTAACATGTTCAGTGAGTGTCTCTGTAACATGTTCAGTGAGTGTCTGTGTAACATGTTCAGTGAGTGTCTCTGTAACATGTTCAGTGAGTGTCTCTGTAACATGTTCAGTGAGTGTCTCTGTAACATGTTCAGTGAGTGTCTCTGTAACATGTTCAGTGAGTGTCTCTGTAACGTGTTCAGTGAGTGTCTCTGTGTCTCGGTTTGTGTCTGATAGTCATGTGTATCTATTTCCCAGAAACCCAACACAGCTGTGGAGTATGTTGCAGCCCACCTGTCAAAGATCCATGGTCTGGACTGGCACCCTGACAACGAATACATCCTGGCAACGTCCAGTCAGGACAACTCAGTCAGGGTAAATTAACATGCATATCTTTCCCCAGAACGCCATAGCGACCGTAAAACTTCAATTAAACGAAGTCTCAAAAAGCCGCCTGTCCCTTTTAATAGCTGGGGAACAGCACACATTTCATCAAATGTTTACGCCGGGTCTAAATCAATTGTTTTTAGAGGTTACCATACATTTCCATGAATTGTTTATGAGGTTTAATGTTTGATTTGTTACATTAAATAATTCAGTAATGACTCAAATTGTCAAACATCGGTTTTTATCGCATGTAATCAACTTCTAGCCATCTGCTGCTAACAGCTGAGAACTGCTAACTGGCAAGTACAAAAACAGTCGACGTTCAGACCCCCAGAAATCGCCAAAATGCCCTCTCGTGGCGGAAGTAAGAACTGCCGGAAATGCACAGTCAAAGAGGAGAATTAATTATTCTGTCAAGGAAAATATTTATATATATTTTTTCAATAGAGGCATACTAAGACAAAAGAAACGTGACACAAGCTAGGTTTCCATCCAATTAGCGACAGATTTTAATATGAATATTCAAAAATCTGCATAAAAACAATATGCATATTTTTTACCAGAGATGTTTCCATTAAACGGACTTGTTGCTGATAAAAGGCTGTGTGAGGACGTAGTGAACATAAAAATAACTTTTGCGGTTAAATTCCCATCTACCGAATTAAAAAATACTAGTTAAATGGTTTTCCATTGCATTTTCAACTCTACCGATGGTTTTCTCACAAAGAAATGTGCGTTATAATAATAAATAGCAGACGCTTTTATCCAAAGCGACTTACAGTCATGTGTGCATACATTTATTTTCTGTGTATGGGTGGTCCCGGGGATCGAACCCACTACCTTGGCGTTACAAGCGCCGTGCTCTACCAGCTGAGCTACAGAGGACCATTATATATTATATATAGCGAGTGTGCCCTCTCTGGTCTTGGCACGTGTGCTCTCGCCAGCAGGTACAGTGTGGGTAGAGCCTACATGATGAGGTCATTATGGACAAAAGAGAGAGATTATTTTTTACTTGTCAAAACGGCAGTCAAGCATCGATGATCACGTCACCAGAATAAGACCCTCGATATTTATTGGAAAGGAGCGTCAAGCTCATCACCTCGCACCTTCAACTTCAACACCCTGTGATGTTCATCAAAACGTATTTAATCTGTAGTCTAATAAACAACATGGCTTTCCCGGACAAGTCCTAGTGGGAAACCACACAACACGTCATCCTGTGACTCCAATTTTACTTCGGTATGATGATGTTATTTATATCAATATTTGCGCATAAAAGCACTTCCACTGACGTTTCTCGCGTATTACATTTTAATCGACACAAAAAAAGATCCCACCTTGTCTAGCGTGTTTAGTGTTGTCGACATTTTGGAAAGTTTTTTTTTCCGACAAATGTTCTGTTTCTATCACGGATTCAGCCGAGGATGCCCCTCCTCCTCCTCGCTCGGGCAGGCTTCGGCGTTCGTCGTCCCCGGGAGTACTAGCTACTACCGATCTATGTTTCTGTGTTTGTCTTGTTTGGTCTTAATTGTGTACAGCTGTTTTCCAATGATGTTGTATCGTATTCCCCTATATAACACTCTGTCTTTCATTGTGTGGGATTGTTTTCGTCATTCGGCAGTAGCTTGTTGTGCGGGTTATTTTTCCTCCCTGGGTGGAGGATGTTTATACTCTGGTTACTTTCGAGTAAAGTACGTTTCCAGTTTGACTTCGTCCACCGCATTTCACGTACGCCTGTGACAGTTTCCATCAGGCCTGCCAGACTCTTTACTGGTATAACAGGGTTGGATGGAAACCTGGTTCCACTCCGTAAATGACAACACGTTAGTGCAGGAAATGAAGAAATGTATTAAAATGCTGGAATTAAACAATGAACTATGCAAATGAGCTAAAAGCTGTGTGCATTAAGGAAATAGAGGCCTGGCTCAAATAGAAGCCTGTCTGTAAAAAAAATAATAAAAAAAAGCGCCTGTTGTGTTCATTGATTTTTTTAAAGCAAATAAACGCCTGGGCTATTAATTGAAGTTTTACGGTATGCGGGGAAATTCACATAGTTATGATTCTCCCGTTGTACTTTATTTCCGTGCCGTCCTTCAATCTCTCTGTGCAGTTCTGGGACTACAGACAGCCAAGGAAGTATCTGAACATCCTGTCCTGTCAGGTTCCAGTGTGGAAGGCCAGATATACAGTGAGTTGACTCTTCCTCTCACCAGTTCTCCTCATATGAAGAGTGGATATCTGCCTAAGTGTTAGGGATGTATTTCTGTCTATAATGGTGTGTGTGTGTGTGTGGCCGTGTGTGTGGCCGGGTGTGTGTGTGTGTGGCCGTGTGTGTGTGTGTGTGTGTGTGGCCGTGTGTGTGTGTGTGTGTGTGTGTGGCCGTGTGTGTGTGTGTGTGGCCGTGTGTGTGTGTGGCCGTGTGTGTGTGTGTGTGTGGCCGTGTGTGTGTGTGTGTGTGTGTGTGTGTGTGTGTGTGGCCGTGTGTGTGTGTGTGTGTGTGTGTGTGTGTGTGTGTGTGTGTGTGTGTAGCCCTTCTCCAATGGCCTGGTTACGGTGATGGTTCCCCAGCTGAGACGGGAGAACAGCTTGTTGCTATGGAGCACTCTGGACCTCAACAGCCCCGTTCACGCCTTCGTGGGACACGACGATGTAGTGCTGGAGTTCCAGTGGCGTCCGCAGACAGAGGGTAACACCCCATTCTAGAATATAACATACTATATCATATAATATAACTCTTTACCAGCCTCGGTGCCTGGATAATGTATCATATAATATAACTCTTTACCAGCCTCGGTGCCTGGATAATGTATCATATAATATAACTCTTTACCAGCCTCGGTGCCTGGATAATGTATCATATAATATAACTCTTTACCAGCCTCGGTGCCTGGATAATGTATCATATAATATAACTCTTTACCAGCCTCGGTGCCTGGATAATGTATCATATAATATAACTCTTTACCAGCCTGGGTGCCTGACTTTATTCAAAGCAACTTATAGTAATGCATACATACATACATTTTGGTATTGTTGGACCCAGCGGGAATCGAACCCACAATCCTGATGTTGCAAACGTCCTGCTTTAACTGCAACTGAGCCACACAGGACCTAACTGGACTAGCATCCAGGCTACCTCTTCCCCCACATCCACTCAGGACCTAACTGGACTAGCATCCAGGCTACCTCTTCCCCCACATCCACTCAGGACCTAACTGGACTAGCATCCAGGCTACCTCTTCCCCCACATCCACTCAGGACCTAACTGGACTAGCATCCAGGCTACCTCTTCCCCCACATCCACTCAGGAGCTAACTGGACTAGCATCCAGGCTACCTCTTCCCCCACATCCACTCAGGACCTAACTGGACTAGCATCCAGGCTACCTCTTCCCCCACATCCTGAACTGTCATCATGTCAATCCACCTGCTAATGAACCTGTGTTGTGTCTCATTCTCCGTAGAGTTCAGTCCCCTGATTCTCCTGTCTTGTTGTGTCTCCTACTAGCTTCTAAGGACTACCAGCTGGTGACTCTGTCCAGAGACCAGACTCTGAGGATATGGAGGCTGGATCCACAGCTACAGAAGGTGTGGAATGTGTCAAATCTAACATTATATTCAAATCTCTATGGGCCCTGGTGTCAAATCCAACATTATATTCAAATCTCTATGGGCCCTGGTGTCAAATCCAACATTATATTCAAATCTCTATGGGCCCTGGTGTCAAATCCAACATTATATTCAAATCTCTATGGGCCCTGGTGTCAAATCCAACATTATATTCAAATCTCTATGGGCCCTGGTGTCAAATCCAACATTATATTCAAATGTCTATGGGCCCTGGTGTCAAATCCAACATTATATTCAAATCTCTATGGGCCCTGGTGTCAAATCCAACATTATATTCAAATCTCTATGGGCCCTGGTGTCAAATCCAACATTATATTCAAATCTCTATGGGCCCTGGTGTCAAATCCAACATTATATTCAAATCTCTATGGGCCCTGGTGTCAAATCCAACATTATATTCAAATCTCTATGGGCCCTGGTGTCAAATCCAACATTATATTCAAATCTCTATGGGCCCTGGTGTCAAATCCAACATTATATTCAAATCTCTATGGGCCCTGGTGTCAAATCCAACATTATATTCAAATCTCTATGGGCCCTGGTGTCAAATCCAACATTATATTCAAATCTCTATGGGCCCTGGTGTCAAATCCAACATTATATTCAAATCTCTATGGGCCCTGGTGTCAAATCCAACATTATATTCAAATGTCTATGGGCCCTGGTGTCAAATCCAACATTATATTCAAATCTCTATGGGCCCTGGTGTCAAATCCAACATTATATTCAAATCTCTATGGGCCCTGGTGTCAAATCCAACATTATATTCAAATCTCTATGGGCCCTGGTGTCAAATCCAACATTATATTCAAATCTCTATGGGCCCTGGTGTCAAATCCAACATTATATTCAAATCTCTATGGGCCCTGGTGTCAAATCCAACATTATATTCAAATCTCTATGGGCCCTGGTGTCAAATCCAACATTATATTCAAATCTCTATGGGCCCTGGTGTCAAATCCAACATTATATTCAAATCTCTATGGGCCCTGGTGTCAAATCCAACATTATATTCAAATCTCTATGGGCCCTGGTGTCAAATCCAACATTATATTCAAATCTCTATGGGCCCTGGTGTCAAATCCAACATTATATTCAAATCTCTATGGGCCCTGGTGTCAAATCCAACATTATATTCAAATCTCCATATGGGCCCTGGTGTCAAATCCAACATTATATTCAAATCTCTATGGGCCCTGGTGTCAAATCCAACATTATATTCAAATCTCTATGGGCCCTGGTGTCAAATCCAACATTATATTCAAATCTCTATGGGCCCTGGTGTCAAATCCAACATTATATTCAAATCTCTATGGGCCCTGGTGTCAAATCCAACATTATATTCAAATCTCTATGGGCCCTGGTGTCAAATCCAACATTATATTCAAATCTCTATGGGCCCTGGTGTCAAATCCAACATTATATTCAAATCTCTATGGGCCCTGGTGTCAAATCCAACATTATATTCAAATCTCTATGGGCCCTGGTGTCAAATCCAACATTATATTCAAATGTCTATGGGCCCTGGTGTCAAATCCAACATTATATTCAAATCTCTATGGGCCCTGGTGTCAAATCCAACATTATATTCAAATCTCTATGGGCCCTGGTGTCAAATCCAACATTATATTCAAATCTCTATGGGCCCTGGTGTCAAATCCAACATTATATTCAAATCTCTATGGGCCCCTGGTGTCAAATCCAACATTATATTCAAATCTCTATGGGCCCTGGTGTCAAATCCAACATTATATTCAAATCTCTATGGGCCCTGGTGTCAAATCCAACATTATATTCAAATCTCTATGGGCCCTGGTGTCAAATCCAACATTATATTCAAATCTCTATGGGCCCTGGTGTCAAATCCAACATTATATTCAAATGTCTATGGGCCCTGGTGTCAAATCCAACATTATATTCAAATCTCTATGGGCCCTGGTGAAAAGTAGTGCAGTATTTTGGGAATAGGGTGTCATTTGGGACACACTCCATATTACATCTAACTTCTCCCTGTGTTTCCCTGTGTTTCCCTGTGTTTCCCTGTGTTTCCCTGTGTTTCTCTGTGTTTCCCTGTGTTTCTCTGTGTTTCTCTGTGTTTCTCTGTGTTTCTCTGTGTTTCTCTGTGTTTCCCTGTGTTTCCCTGTGTTTCCCTGTGTTTCCCTGTGTTTCCCCGTGTTTCCCTGTGTTTCCCCGTGTTTCCCTGTGTTTCTCTGTGTTTCCCTGTGTTTCCCTGTGTTTCCCTGTGTTTCCCTGTGTTTCTCTGTGTTTCCCTGTGTTTCTCTGTGTTTCTCTGTGTTTCTCTGTGTTTTCTCTGTGTTTCTCTGTGTTTCTCTGTGTTTCTCTGTGTTTCTCTGTGTTTCCCTGTGTTTCCCTGTGTTTCTCTGTGTTTCTCTGTGTTTCCCTGTGTTTCTCTGTGTTTCTCTGTGTTTCCCTGTGTTTTCTCTGTGTTTCTCTGTGTTTCCCTGTGTTTCTCTCTGTTTCTCTGTGTTTCTCTGTGTTTCTCTGTGTTTCTCTGTGTCTTCCTGTGTTTCCCTGTGTTTCCCTGTGTTTCTCTGTGTTTCTCTGTGTTTCTCTGTGTTTCTCTGTGTTTCCCTGTGTTTCTCTGTGTTTCCCTGTGTTTCCCTGTGTTCCCCTGTGTTTCCCTGTGTTCCCCTGTGTTTCTCTGTGTTTCTCCGTGTTTCTCTGTGTTTCTCTGTGTTTCTCTGTGTTTCTCTGTGTTTCTCTGTGTTTCCCTGTGTTTCCCTGTGTTTCTCTGTGTTTCCCTGTGTTTCCCTGTGTTTCCCTGTGTTTCCCTGTGTTTCTCTGTGTTTCTCTGTGTTTCTCTGTGTTTCTCTGTGTTTCTCTGTGTTTCCCTGTGTTTCCCTGTGTTTCTCTGTGTTTCCCTGTGTTTCTCTGTGTTTCCCTGTGTTCCCCTGTGTTTCTCTGTGTTTCTCTGTGTTTCCCTGTGTTTCTCTGTGTTTCTCTGTGTTTCTCTGTGTTTCCCTGTGTTCCCCTGTGTTTCTCTGTGTTTCTCTGTGTTTCTCTGTGTTTCCCTGTGTTTCCCTGTGTTTCCCTGTGTTTCCCTGTGTTCCCCTGTGTTTCTCTGTGTTTCCCTGTGTTTCCCTGTGTTTCTCTGTGTTTCTCTGTGTTTCTCTGTGTTTCTCTGTGTTTCTCTGTGTTTCCCTGTGTTTCTCTGTGTTTCCCTGTGTTTCCCTGTGTTTCTCTGTGTTTCTCTGTGTCTTCCTGTGTTTCTCTGTGTTTCCCTGTGTTTCTCTGTGTTTTCTCTGTGTTTCTCTGTGTTTCCCTGTGTTTCTCTCTGTTTCTCTGTGTTTCTTCTGTGTTTTCTCTGTGTTTCTCTGTGTCTTCCTGTGTTTCCCTGTGTTTCCCTGTGTTTCTCTGTGTTTCTCTGTGTTTCTCTGTGTTTCCCTGTGTTTCTCTGTGTTTCCCTGTGTTTCCCTGTGTTCCCTGTGTTTCCCTGTGTTCCCCTGTGTTTCTCTGTGTTTCTCCGTGTTTCTCTGTGTTTCTCTGTGTTTCTCTGTGTTTCCCTGTGTTTCTCTGTGTTTCTCTGTGTTTCTCTGTGTTTCTCTGTGTTTCCCTGTGTTTCTCTGTGTTTCCCTGGTGTTTCCTGTGTTTCCCTGTGTTTCTCTGTGTTTCCCTGTTGTTTCCCTGTGTTTCCTGTGTTTCTCCTGTGTTTCTGTGTTCTCTGTGTTTCTCTGTGTTTCCCTGTGTTTCTCTGTGTTTCCCTGTGTTTCCCTGTGTTTCTCTGTGTTTCCTGTGTTTCTCTGTGTTTCTCTGTGTTTCCCTGTGTTTCCCTGTGTTCTCTGTGTTTCCTGTGTTTCCCTGTGTTTCTCTGTGTTTCCTGTGTTTCCCTGTGTTTCTCTGTGTTTCTCTGTGTTTCCTGTGTTTCTCTGTGTTTTCTCTGTGTTTCCTCTGTGTTTCTGTGTTTCCCTGTGTTTCTCTGTGTTTCCCTGTGTTTCTCTGTGTTTCTCTGTGTTTCTGTGTTTCCCTGTGTTTCTCTGTGTTTCCTGTGTTCCTGTGTTTCTCTGTGTTTCCTGTGTTTTGGTCTTCTGTGTTCTCTTTTTCTGTGTTTCTCTGTGTTTCTCTGTGTTTCTGTGTCTTCCTGGTTTCTCTGTGTTTCTCTGTGTAGCTGTGTGCCAATGACTTGGTCGAGGATCTGATGGAGGGGATGAGCCTAACTGCAGAGTCAGAGAAGAGCCTTCCCTCTCAGGACCCTGAACCCACCATACACAGCTCTGGCCTGCCAGCTGAAGACCTGCAGGGTGAGGGAGACAGGGTGGGAGGGAGGGAGACAGGGTGGGAGGGAGACGGGTGGGAGGGAGACAGGGTGGGAGGGAGGGAAGACAGGGTGGGAGGGAGACAGGGTGGGAGGGAGGGAGACAGGGTGGGAGAGAGACAGAGAGGGAGGGAGGGAGACAGGGTGGGAGGGAGGGAGACAGGGTGGGAGAGAGGGAGGGAGGGAGACAGGGTGGGAGGGAGGGAGACAGGGTGGGAGGGAGGGAGACAGGGTGGGAGGGAGACAGGGTGGGAGGGAGGGAGGGAGGGAGGGAGAGAGAGAGAGAGAGAGGGAGGGAGAGAGGGTGGGTGGGAGACAGGGAGGGAGGGTGGGTGGGAGACAGGGAGGGAGGGAGACAGAGAGGGAGACAGAGAGGGAGGGAGAGAGGGAGGGAGAGAGGGTGGGTGGGTGGGAGACAGGGAGGGAGGGAGGGTGGGAGGGGCAGCACACACACACACACATACAATATTAATTTAATTCGGTTTGGTGTTTGATTATAATTATATTATAATTATTATAAAATGTAATTGTCTTGTTTTTCTTAGACACTTCCACACCTATTCTGTTCTATTACCTTCTCAATCACCAGAATTATAGATGAAGCATCGGATGAAATTCAAATCTCCCTACCATAAATCAAAGCCAATATGACACCAATTGCGATTGTTTTGTTGTTGCAAATCAACATAATTGGAGGTAAAGAACCCACTGCCTCGTCATGAGCCGTCCGTCCTGAGTTTTTAGAGTATCTCTTGCCCCTATCTGGCTCAAATTCTAGACGGCGGATTAAAACGAGACTATAGCGTCCATAAAGTGACCATTGGACATAAATGCTGGATTGACTCAATTTGTAGGTGCAACAGTTTTATTAAATGTATAATGTATCGCTCTCACGTGCACATTTCCGTCTGTGAGGAAACAACGATGTGCTTCCTTAGTTGCATTTCTGACAATTCTAACGTTTCTTTAACCGAAAGGTCGCTGGTTCTAATCCCCGAGCCGACTAGGTGTAAAATCTGTCGATGTGCCCTTGAGCAAGGCACTTAACCCTAATTGCTCCTGTAAGTCGCTCTGGATAAGAGCGTCTGCTAAATGACTAAAATGTAAATGTAAAATGTATATGGTGGTATTCAGGTTGAGGTTAATCGTTAAACACAAACAGATATTTTGATTAGCTAGGTAGCTAACTAGCTAACGTTAGCTTGCTTGTACAAAGTCCAAATAAAGCCAGCTAGCAAATGAATGTGGTTTAGTTTTGATTAGCTAGCTTATGTAACGTTATACCAGTCAGATGAAAGCTAACGTTGGCTAGGTAGCTAACCAACAAGCGAGGAAAGCTAGCTAGCTAGCTAGCTATCTATATTATGCCAAGTAAGGTTTTTGACATAAGGCTGAAGTCATGTGTAAACTGATGATCTAGACACGTGTAATCGGAGCAAAAACAAATATGCACAAATAAACTAGCGAACGCCCTTGCCTGCTATGATAGCCAATTAACTTTAGCTAGCTAAGTAACCTTCGCCAACGTAAGACTAACGTTAGTTAACGTGTATGGCCAGTTCATGCACCACAATATATCATACTTTTTTACACAAAACATAACTAAAGTTAGTAACGTTAAGTTTAAAACCACCAAACGTTGGGAAGCTGCCATGCTAATCACGTTCATTTGCATTGCACAGACCATGCTACGGTAACGTTAAGACGAGGTAGCCAGATTTCAGACAGGACAAGCAAATCATCAAATCTAATTGTATTTGTCACATGCGCCGAATACAACAGGTGAAATGCTTACTTACAAGCCCTTAACCAACAACGCAGTTTGAAGAAAAGAGTTAAGAAAATATTTACTAAATAAACTAAAGTAAAAAAAAAAAAAGGAACAAAAAGTAACACAATAAAATAAGAATAATGAGGCTATATACAGGGGGGGTACCGGTACCGAGTCAATGGGCTGGGGTACAGGTTAGTCCAGGTAATAACGAGGCTATATACAGGGGGTACCGGTACCGAGTCAATGGGCTGGGTACAGGTTAGTCCAGGTAATAACGAGGCTATATACAGGGGGTACCGGTACCGAGTCAATGGGCTGGGGTACAGGTTAGTCCAGGTAATAATGAGGCTATATACAGGGGGTACCGGTACCGAGTCAATGTGCTGGGTACAGGTTAGTCCAGGTAATAATGAGGCTATATACAGGGGGTACCGGTACCGAGTCAATGGGCTGGGGTACAGGTTAGTCCAGGTAATAATGAGGCTATATACAGGGGGTACCGGTACCGAGTCAATGGGCTGGGTACAGGTTAGTCCAGGTAATAATGAGGCTATATACAGGGGGTACCGGTACCGAGTCAATGTGCAGGGGTACAGGTTAGTCCAGGTATTTGTACATGTAGGTAGGGGTAAAGTGACTATGCATAGATAATAAACAGTGAGTAGCAGCAGTGTAAAAACAAAGTTAGCTACGCTACATTTCCTCGACTAAGAACAACCAAGACCACAACACAAACCATAGCCGAGAAAACAAATAGCGTTGCTAAGAAACAGTGAGTTAGCTCTGTTGAACCGCATGTAGTAAACGGTTGAACCCCAAAACGCACATGGAAACAGAACCTCAGTGGTGCGTGCTGACCAGACCGACAGCGTCACTGTTTCAAACACGTGTCCAATTCTTTACATTTTATCATCCAAATGTGTGCTGACTGATCAACACAGTGTCAAATTACTTTTCGGTGTGTTTACAGAAAATCTGAAATCGCCATTCACAAGTAAAACGTCGTCTCCACACGCTGCACCAGGCTAAAACAACAACAGAATCATTGCTTGCTGTGTGCCAGCCTGATAACATAGTCAATGTAAATCTGGGACACTGAAATTAGTATGATATGTTACGTTTGGTATGGTTAGATAAGACAGGAGGTTACTTAAAGGCGATTTTTCCTATTTCTGAAATAAATCTCTATTTTTTTTATGTAAATGGAATGTAATAGAAGGGTCCAGATACTTTTTTTTGTGATTTGGCTTGTTTTTGAGAAACTTACCCCAGCTGGGATTCACTTCCTGGTTGTGCTGTATCAGGGCACGCAAAAGACCTTAACAAAACCCCCTGATACATCTCTCTCTCTCTCTCTCTCTCTCTCTCTCTCTCTCTCTCTCTCTCTCTCTCTCTCTCTCTCTCTCTCTCTCTCTCTCTCTCTGTCTCTCTCTCTCTCTCTCTCTCTCTCTCTCTCTCTCTCTCTCTCTCTCTCTCTCTCACTCTCTCACTCTCTCACTCTCTCACTCTCTCACTCTCTCACTCTCACACTCTCACACTCTCACACTCTCACACTCTTACACTCTTACACTCTTACACTCTCACACTCTCACTCTCTCACTCTCTCCCAGACCAGGATGGTGCTCTGACCTCCAGTGGTAGAGATGACCCGTCTGCTCTGCCCCAGACCCTGCAGCAGGAGTTCTCTCTGGTCAACCTGCAGATCAGGAACGTCAACGTGGAGGTGAGCTTATAACACCTAATGACGTCTCCTATGACAGTCTTATGACTGCTTATAACTCCTGATGACATCTCATATGACAGTCTTATGACTGCTTATAGCTCCTGATGACATCTCATATGACAGTCTTATGACTGCTTATAGCTCCTGATGATGCTATGTCACTCCTCTTATGACAGTTTATAACTCCTAACGATATTTGCTATGTCAGTCTTATGACAGGTTATGACTCCTAATGACATCTGCTATGTCAGTCTTAAGATCGGTTAAAACTCCTAATGAAACTTGCTGTGTCAGTCTTACGACATCTTATGACATTGTTATGTAGGCTTTATGACTGTGGGTCCAAATAAAGCGTAGCTAGTTTTCTCCCACATGCAGCTGGATCAGAAAGACCACTACACTCTTCATACCATTAGAATGGCTTTATTATGGTGTCATCACTACACTCTTCATACCATTAGAATGGCTTTATTATGGTGTCATCACTACACTCTTCATACCATTAGAATGGCTTTATTATGGTGTCATCACTACACTCTTCATACCATTAGAATGGCTTTATTATGGTGTCATCACTACACTCTTCATACCATTAGAATGGCTTTATTATGGTGTCATCACTACACTCTTCATACCATTAGAATGGCTTTATTATGGTGTCATCACTACACTCTTCATACCATTAGAATGGCTTTATTATGGTGTCATCACTACACTCTTCATACCATTAGAATGGCTTTATTATGGTGTCATCACTACACTCTTCATACCATTAGAATGGCTTTATTATGGTGTCATCACTACACTCTTCATACCATTAGAATGGCTTTATTATGGTGTCATCACTACACTCTTCATACCATTAGAATGGCTTTATTATGGTGGCATCACTACACTCTTCATACCATTAGAATGGCTTTATTATGGTGGCATCACTACACTCTTCATACCATTAGAATGGCTTTATTATGGTGTCATCACTACACTCTTCATACCATTAGAATGGCTTTATTATGGTGGCATCACTACACTCTTCATACCATTAGAATGGCTTTATTATGGTGGCATCACTACACTCTTCATACCATTAGAATGGCTTTATTATGGTGGCATCACTACACTCTTCATACCATTAGAATGGCTTTATTATGGTGGCATCACTACACTCTTCATACCATTAGAAAGGCTTTATTATGGTGTCATCACTACACTCTTCATACCATTAGAATGGCTTTATTATGGTGGCATCACTACACTCTTCATACCATTAGAATGGCTTTATTATGGTGTCATCACTACACTCTTCATACCATTAGAATGGCTTTATTATGGTGGCATCACTACACTCTTCATACCATTAGAATAGCTTTATTATGGTGTCATCACTACACTCTTCATACCATTAGAATGGCTTTATTATGGTGGCATCACTACACTCTTCATACCATTAGAATGGCTTTATTATGGTGTCATCACTACACTCTTCATACCATTAGAAAGGCTTTATTATGGTGTCATCACTACACTCTTCATACCATTAGAATGGCTTTATTATGGTGGCATCACTACACTCTTCATACCATTAGAATGGCTTTATTATGGTGGCATCACTACACTCTTCATACCATTAGAATGGCTTTATTATGGTGTCATCACTACACTCTTCATACCATTAGAATGGCTTTATTATGGTGTCATCACTACACTCTTCATACCATTAGAAAGGCTTTATTATGGTGTCATCATTACACTCTTCATACCATTAGAATGGCTTTATTATGGTGGCATCACTACACTCTTCATACCATTAGAATGGCTTTATTATGGTGTCATCACTACACTCTTCATACCATTAGAATGGCTTTATTATGGTGTCATCACTACACTCTTCATACCATTAGAATGGCTTTATTATGGTGTCATCACTACACTCTTCATACCATTAGAATGGCTTTATTATGGTGTCATCACTACACTCTTCATACCATTAGAATGGCTTTATTATGGTGGCATCACTACACTCTTCATACCATTAGAATGGCTTTATTATGGTGGCATCACTACACTCTTCATACCATTAGAATGGCTTTATTATGGTGGCATCACTACACTCTTCATACCATTAGAATGGCTTTATTATGGTGTTAACACTACACTCTTCATACCATTAGAATGGCTTTATTATGGTGTCATCACTACACTCTTCATACCATTAGAATGGCTTTATTATGGTGTCATCACTACACTCTTCATACCATTAGAATGGCTTTATTATGGTGTCATCACTACACTCTTCATACCATTAGAATGGCTTTATTATGGTGTCATCACTACACTCTTCATACCATTAGAATGGCTTTATTATGGTGTCATCA